CTTGTGCATAACCTGATTTGTTAAAAATAGAGTGGAATTAAAAAATCTTTCCACCAATGAAAATAACGTTATTCTCCTCACAATCACACAGGCTGACCACAATTGCTGTTGCTCTATTCATGATATGAAGGTATTGTGTATCTGCAAAGCCAGAAGACAAGAATATAACAAGTATGAACTGGGACGCACAGAACAGCAGGAATTCTCTTTGAAAGTCAGCACAGCGAAGGCAGAGAACGTGGAGGAGGGTAGCAGGCTTTCTGCCCTCAGGCCTGCCTAATGGGGGAGAGCGCCTCTTTGAGCAGAGCAGTTTTGCAGAGGGCCAGAGGATGAGAGCCTCTGAACTTGGAGATATAACTGGCCTAATAAAAAAAAACTAAGGGGCTGCTACGTTGTCCTCTGACACGGAGGAGACCCTCTTCTCTGGAGAAGTGTGAGGCACCGGTGGATGGCGCTTCTCGGTGTGGGTGGATTGATTTCCAGCCTCTCCATGACCTGGCCACTTGTGGAGGATGTCAGGCCAATCAAGACACGTGCATGTGTGCATTAAAGATGAGCGCATAGCAGGGTTGTAATTTAAATAACATGGAAAAACCTTGATGCAAACAACTCATTATTAAGTGAGCAAAGAGGCAGAATATGCAATAGAGCAAATGTCACCTGAGTAGAGTCTAATTCCTCTAATAGATCATGAAATATATGTTGGTACAGGCGGGAAGGATGTATAACTGTAGGCTTTTAATTGGAGACATGGAAGGTTCAAAGTTTAGCTTGGGCAGAATTAATTTAGTCGGGGTTCAAGACATTTCAAGCGATGATGGTGGGTCAAAACCGGCAAAAAATATTTGTGCCTGAAGAAAAATGAAATATAGCAGGAAAATTATTCCAAGTGAAAGTTTTCTGGATTCATTTTTTGTATGCCTTCATTTAGAGAAAGGAGAGTACACAGTGTCAGAAATCGGGGATAATAGAGAGAGAGTCGGCATGTGAGAAAGGAGCCACAAGTCGGACTCAAACCCGGGTCACCACAGCCTCCGTACATGTGGTGTGCGCACTAACCACTAAGCTACTGGCGCCCAATTCTTGACTGATTTGAAAGCCAAAAGAAGAGCATGAAAGCATGTTAAACTGAAAACTTTATATGCTTTTTTGGGTCCTTAACAATCTGGTATAAATTGGCTGCACGGGGGAAATATTAGTGTTTTTTGGATGACATGGTTTGCTTTAGCAGCTGAGCTTGTGGCCATCTTATGTCCAACCGTAGTACCACATTTGTCTTCCCCCCTCTTCCCTTGTCTCCCTTCTCCTGTCCCTTGCTCGCCTCCTCTTCTCCAGTTCACTCGTTTCCTGTGTCCAGTTGTGCCTGCAGACGCGGTTGCGATGATGAATCTGTGGCTGCAGTGTGTCTGTGTGTCTGACATCGTGATGTATCTCTACTGGCCTTAACTCCCTCTCTATCTCTCTCTCTGTCTCCCCTCTTTTTTACCCCCCCCCTCTTCCCCCCCGAGTATCCTTTTCTCTCCATCTCTTTGTCTTTGGCTCCCTGTCTCCTTCAGTCTCTCTCTCTCTCTCTCACTCTCGGTGACGAGGCATTGCCTGGCCTCCTGCCTCTGTGATGAAACAGACAGAACACACACAGACTCACCACCACCAACAATAACAAACAGGAACTCAGCTCCACGATTTGCCCATTGATTTTCACTGGGGGCATTTTTGAAATAGCCCATCTGACCTTTCGGCCAAATGGTGGAGAATGGAGGAAACAGAGGTGCTAGACCGCTCTGCCTCTCTCCCTCTAACAACAAAAAAATCCCTGCCAGTGTATGCCTGAGCAGACTGCTCTGCAGGTCAGCTCTGGTTTCGGGTTAGGTTTTTGTTGCTAATATCTATATATTAACAGGGGGGGAAAAAACGCTGTTGATTTTGGTATTTTGGGGTCTAATATGGAACTGAAGTTTTTTTTGAGAAAGACCATGCAAGCAAGACCTCATCTTCTCAGGAGAACAAATCTGTCATAATATTGTGAGATATGTTTGCATCAGAGGTGACACAACAGGAAGACACAAACTGCTAGTATGCATGAATGAGCTCAATGAATGTAAAGAAAATAAATCTGCCTCTGAAAATCAGATTTTCCTTATTTTCAACTGCAAACATTTTGGCCTTATAGTAGCACTAACGAAAAGATTAAGGGGTGAGACACCCATTGGGATTAATCTTTGAACCACCAACTCAGGGATTCACACCACATTCACAGACTGAAGGCAGAGTGAAGTGTAAAGTGTCTATCAGTTTTTTACTTATCCCATTCATACACATTCACATGCCACTGATGCAGCAGCAGGAGCAATTTGGGGTTTAGTGTCTTGCCCAAGGACTCTACCACTCGACTCTACCACTGAGCCACAGCCGCTGTTAACTAAGTATTGGTATTCTGATCCTTGGTACATGCACCCAGCAGTGTTGATATCCGTGTGTTAGGATGGATTTGGCATGTTGTTTAAAGTGCTTTGACTGTAGAGAGACGTGCTATAGAAGTGCAGTAAATGTTTCTTGGTCCAGCAGCCTGCTCTTAAGAACTTGGATCATTTAAGCTTACCATTCCCCCATGTGTGGGAAGTGATATAATTTTAACTCGGACAGAAGAGCATTCTCCTACTGAATCCTTTATCTGTCTTTATGTAGTCAGGGGGTGTAAAGATGTAAGATGCTGTAAGGCTGTTAAGACTTTTCAGTGATGTTTGCTGATGTAAATGGAACCAACTTGACTTTCAAATCAACCTGACCATGAACTTACTTTTCTGTTCATTCACTTGGATGTTAATCAAAACAAGGTCACATGGTCTCAGGTCTGCATTACACTGCACCTTGCCTTTTTTTAAATACAAAGCATGTGCCAGCTCAATTTACACACAGATACTGGGTTCATGGGTGGAACAAGCTGTTATTTCATCCCTCCAAAAATGATTATCGTTTGGTGGTTTGTGTGTGTGTGTGTGATCAGGGAAGAGGGGCTTTAAAAGAAAGTGGCTCCTCTGCCCCGTCGCCTGGAAGACTATGTCAGGCTCATTATCCTGATGAAATTTGCACAGATGCGTGAGCTGCCGACAGACTCTGCTGTGACACAAACAGCCAGCTCAGGTGATGAAAACCGGAGAGGCACGGGGGCTGAGGAACGACGGCCATTAAGCAAAAAAAAAGAAAGAGGTGTGAGGGGTATTGAGCGTGTGTGTGTGTGTGTGTGTGTGCTTGCGTGCGTCAAGCAAAGGGGGTTGGGGGGGGGGGGGGGGGGCAGCTGGGAGTCTTCTAAGTCTCTGTCTAGCAGGGAAAAAGCATTACATAAAGTAACAATTTCTAAAGCACCTTCTTAAAATTCCAGTTGAAAATGAATATGTGCATATGTGCACGCGGGCGCCTTCCTCACGAGGCACTAATCTGGCCGTATCCAGATGACGAGCGGACTGCCACTTAACAAGGAGGAGATCCACTTTGATCACATGGCCCCTGGGGGCAAACCTATCGCGCTGCCTATTACGCGGCTTCATTTGCATATGTGGGGGCTTATGGGGTAGGCTGAGATCTAGTGTGAATGTTCATAACTGCAGCAGGGCTCGATGTTGCTCGAAAGAAAATGTCCAGGAGAGAAGCAGAAGAAGAAAAAAAAAGAAAAGACAGAGCGCTGCCAGTAGCCAGGGGAAAGAGAAGTCCACTTGTCACTTGAAGGTCACAAGTTCAACAGCACAGACTGGCTGAGAAAATCCTAAAAAAATGTAATACTCTGGCCGAACAACAATACTGACTCGTCCTTGAGCAGTTACCCTCACACCCTCACATTTGAATGTCTAAGAGTCCAATTTTTTAGAGACAGTGGACAGTGGAGCTGTTAGTGGAAAACTGTAGAACAAGAAGTACAAATTTGAGTATAAGTAAGAGCGGTGCATACATGCTCAATAAACTTTACCCACATGAATAAAGGTCCTTTTTCTTTCTAAAGTAAGACGCCGAGAAGAAACCACGTCTGCTCCTTAAGTTCCACTTTAACAACAACAACAACAACAGGTGAATGAAGCTCTTTTTATCCTCCCGCCTTCTCACACTACTCCATGAAAGCTCCACAAAGTCCTCTTGATCCTTGTTAGCAAGCCAAAGACCGAAAGCACCCAGTGAAGTTATTCTGGAGTAAACAAAGAAGAAACACGGAGGCAAACTTCCGCTGTGACAGAACAATTTTGTTTGCGTAAACAACATTAACCAACATCTAAAAAGAAGGGTGGTCTACTTTCTGAGCTCCACTGGGGATTTCATCATATACTAAGACACTGCACTTTAAATAAGGAGGATGTAGCTACGTGCTGCCAACAGTAGTGAACGACATCAGTAAGACATTTCCCTCTTTGTACCATTACCTGTTAAGCATTGGTTTATAACTTGAAGAAAGAAATAACTCCTTTGTAGCAGTAAAAGTTCATGTAGAGCATTAGCTGGTACAGCGGAAACCGTCATTCAGCATTCAGCTGCTTTTCTGTCTAATAAAAGTTTCAATAGAGACATTGACTCTTTTCAAATGAAATGTTTATTTCTCTTTTAAAGGCCATTCAGTTGGAAGAAGGTTGAGAGACAAATTAATACAGATCTGTATTACGAGAAAATTGAATCAACAAATATCAATAACAAAAGTGATCTGGATTTAGGACAACTGCAACAAAAAAAAAACTATAGAATATATGTCTATCTCTCTTAACAGCCAATCAACCTAAAAGGGCCTGAACCAAATCAAAATTCACACTGGTGAAAAGAATAAGTGAGGGGTGGAGCGAGAGGAGGGCGTCTTTGTTGCTTAAAAAATCATTTTCCATACTTTGGCATCAATTGGTGCGAATAATTCCCGAAACTTTTTCAAGTCCGACTTTAAATGGCATTACATATGTAGTGAGGCATGAAAAATTAATACGCTGGAGTCGGGGAAAATGTCAAGGGTAATGATCTCGACGACAGCTTACCTCCTTAGCTTTCTGTTTCAGTCGAGCTTGCTCTGGGTCCTCTTGCCTGGAGCGACTCTGAAGAGTAAAGGAGGGAAAAAACACAGGTTAACAGCTGGTTTAAGGAGTCCCCCCAGTCCCCTCCTCCTCACTATTCATCTGTTGCTGCGGCAGCAAAAATAGTGCAAAATGGGAACAGGATACAGAGGTGTCAAGGACATTGTATTTGAATTCAGAGAAGTGCAATGGAGCGCCCCCCGGGGGGCGGTGGCCTTTAAACCCGCTCCAAATCCAGCCCTAAATAAGCCGCTGGAGGGGGATTCTAATCAAAAGAGGTTATTAAAAATTCTGCACGAGCCAGCACCCACACACACTCACACACACACAATCACACACAGTCACACACAGGGCAAAGGATGTGGTAAGTATCAGTGGCAGTCGTTGTGTGTGTGTGTGTCACTGTGAGCCAGTGTGGCTATCCTTTACTGTGTGTGTGTGTGGGTGTCTGTGTGTGTCTGTGTGTGTGTGTGTGTGTGTGTGTGTGTGTGTGTGTGTGTGCGCATGTGTGCTAGTGTGTCCCTGCGTACATAGCTATTTTAATCAGCAGCAGAGATCTGGCTGAATGTGCTTGTCCCTGGGAATCCTTCACCACACAGCCAAATGTACATGTACATCTGACCACTGTAGGCAATACGGGCAGATTACAGTACTATACACACCATACACACTATACACACTATACACACGCTGAATGCTGTTCTGGCTCTGGCTTTAATCTGACTTGTTTTAGTTTCGCTGGATTAACCTAAATTTGGTCAGTTATAAGACACCTCAAGTATTCATTCTTTATAATGTCCTTTGTACATAAATACTGTCTTTCGTCAGACAGTGATGGGCCTCCTTTCAGGTCTTCTAGTGATTCCAGTGGTTAGCAATAAAGGACTTCCTTTTCTGTTGCCATTGTTCACAGTCCATCTAGCAACGTGTGAAGCGTGAATGGAGTTGTTGTTTAGAGACAATATTTAATACGGAGGCTGCACTTGCGAGACGTTTTAATACATTAATAAAGGTTATTTATTATTAGATGACTGCTGGGTCCTGGGGACGCATTACAGGGGGACTGTGTTCTGCACCTTTCAACAAGAGCCGGTTCTCCTGTGCACGGTCAAGGCCCGCTGAAACGCTAGTGGACAAGACTGAAATAAGAACCTGATACCAGAACTGTTGTCGGCCATGTGCCAACAATGTGTGCATTTTTTATACAGAATCTGTGAAGACAGATTCAGACTTTTATGAAGGAACACCAACAAGAAAACAATTCATTTTACTTGACAGTAATTAATCAAAAACCCAGTTCATATAGAGTACTGATAGCTATTTCTTTTAGCTTCATATCGCCCTTTAATTCCACATCAATCAGAGTCAGAGGAGCTTTCACCCTTTCACTCCCTTCCACTCCTTCCTCTCCTCATCTTCTCTGCCTTATGGTTGAAGAGCTGCTCCTCCCAGCCTTCCTGCTAATTGGCTTTAAATATATCAGGCGGTTCACGTACTGGTTGGTATCTCGACTAGGAATAATGTGTTTGCCCTCGGGTCGGCAGGAGCATCCCTCCAGACTTGAGTCATGTTTTAAATGGACAGGGCAGAGGAGAAGGGGGGGAGGGGGGGAAGAGAAAACAAGAGGCGGGAATAGAGGGGATTATTTTAGTGGGTTTCTTGTTCAAGAGGTCAAATTAGCGGGCGCTCGAGCGAGAGGCAGGCAGTTTGGGAGACGGGTGGCGGCGGGGCGGAGGAGAGGGAGGGGTGGGTACAGATGGACTGTTTACAAAGGGCAGCGGTGCCACTGGCATGCTTTACATCTCCTCTGTCAGCTGCCCTGGTTTTTCCCACTTACAGGCGAGAACAGAGGGGGAAGGAGGAAAAGAGGACTGGGTAGCAGACGCTGTCAAGCCTTTGTGTTTGGTTTTGGCAGGGTGGCAGTATAATGTACTTTAAAAAACAGTATTCAGCAGTATATACTCAATCTGTGATATTATGGGAATAACAAAGTGAGAGTGTGTTTTGATTTTGTCTACCTTGAATAGTTTCTTATATTTCCCGTCGTAGAGCCCCAGAGAGATGTTCTTGTTTTAATAAGCTTCAGGTCGTATGTGCATGGGGTGAAGGCGACTTCATGTTGAAACTTTGCAATTATATCAAACTTATATATAAGTAATAATAATCACTATCAGGCTTCAAATAGATTTTTTTAAACATTTTGTTTTTGTATTCAGTTTAAACTATTTGTGCAATTTGTGCTCTGAGTGCTTAAGTCTGTGGAGTTTTTCTCCCTGTGTAAAAAACTAAGAACATAAATAAAAAGGAACAAATGCCAAAGCATGACATTTAGGATTTGGACAGTTATCTTTGTGAGAAAGAAGGGAAAAAAACTAGAGCTCTGATGACATAAAATGAAAGAAATGAAAGAAATAAAATAGACTGATGTTTGGTGTTATATAACCAGTAACTTTCAGTAAAGTCAGCGTGTGATTATTTCTCCTGTTTCATTTTCAAATCAGCCAGTTATATCAGCAGTAGGAGCAGCATGTGATCAATACGATTAACAGTATCGTAAAAAAGCAAACAGGGTTTAATGGTAAAAACAGAGAGAAAAGTGTTGTTTTCAGAAAGTGTGGTGTTGAAATATATCACACCACCATTCCGCAAGGATGTGCTTTCCAAACTTTTTTTTTCAAACTGAAACGCCATGGCAACGAGGGCAAAAAGCCACAGACATGGCTCTGAGGTGAAGTCCAACTATCCTCCACGATGCTCATGAAATCCACGTACCCCTGAGGTGAGCCCTTCCAACAGGAAGTTCTTCACTAATCCTGTTAATGAGAAGAACCGTTCAGAGTAGGGAGAAAAAGATAGTGCTGTTCGACTGTGTACTACTGGGCACTGACAGAGGCTGTAAAAGTGTCCCTATACGTTTCTTTAACAACACACTTCACAGTGAGGTAATATCTTTTTTTCACGAGAAGGAGCAATGCATTCTGGTCTCTCCTGACAGAAAAAAAACAGACAGGTCAGGAGGTTCGGGGGGCCGGTGTTCATCAACTAGAGGATTTCTAATATCCTACATGGCAGGACTGGAGCGTAATAATGCAATTAAGACAGTGAGGTGTGCTGCAATGAGAATCTTTACTGAGGGACATTGGCTCCATTCAAAATTAATTAAATTAATCTAGCTTTCCGCTAATGTTGCCCCGCGAGGCATTTTCATTTGCAAAAAGATTCTCTCTTTTTTTTTTTGGGTGAGTGGTGATCTCTCCCAATTTAAAAGCCTTTTTTTTAACTGATAAACAAACGTCTCTATAGAAAAGGTTTAAAGCACAGTGATGGACAGGCAACAAGGACCCTGACCCAAATATGAGATTTAACACTTTCAAACAGCAGTTTTGTTTCTGTCCCACAACTTTGATTAATCATCAACCGAATAAAATTAGAAAAACAATTTAAAGGAATCATTTTAAGTTCTTTTCAAAGGACAAAAGGCTACTTACATTTTGAATAGACGGTGTTGAAAGATTTCTACACTACAGCTTCTCTTTTGCATCCTAGACTGAACTTCTGAAGTTTAGCCTCATAAATATGAAAACATAAATAACAATGAACAGCATCAAACGTTGTGTCTTGAGACCACGACACATTTTAAGAGCTTCTAATGAACACTGAGTGTGAGGCTGGCTCTGTTTTATTTGTTAAAAATGATTCCCTGCCTTCACAGTGACGTAGGTGACAGCAAGTTGTAACTATTAAAACGATGTTTGTTAAAAAAAGCCCCTTGAATTAAATGTTACTATTCATCAAGTTTCATTTAAAAGTATTGCTGGTAGTTACAAGTCTATTACCCTACAAAGTTGGTTCGTTGAGTAAAATGTGAATAAAAACAGGATGCTTACACCTTGAACATAGCTCGAAGACAACATACAAAGTGTTGAGACCGAGAAGTGGAATCGTTCCTGTAAAATGATAATCTCAATTTGAATTAAATACCAATGACAGAAGTTTGGATGGAGAAAATCACAGTAACATCACTTAGTGCTAGATGCTACAGATCCATGCAGAGCCAGATCCATCCCGAGCACCTTCACACCATGTTGTTGTAACAAAATCTGAATTTTACCGCAACACACTGAAAAGACTTGGGCCAGGCGAAATGTTTGTCTCGTCGGTAAGGATGTAAAGATTAATCGGGAGGCAGTTAAGGTGTCAAGGTTCACATCGGTACTCTGAAAAGTGAATCACAGTTATATCGTGAGCGTCGGCAGCTGTAGAGCAGAGGCGGTTGGTTGTAACAAAGCAGACATTGTCATGGCAGCTGCGGAGGCCAAACCACACTAATGAGCGGGTTTGCAGCCCTGCTCGCCCAAACGAGTCCAAGAGCCAAAGAGATCAAGAGGTGCATTCAGGTGTTTCATGAAAAAATGAAAGGAATCTTTGTTAGGCCTCTCGTCATTTGTCTTTACTCTCATTGTGTAAAATAAATCGTGAGAGAATCGTGAGTTGAGTGAATCGTTACATACCTACTAATCGGATATAACCCAGCAACGGTTGCTATAGGGGAGGGCTCTCTGATTGGTGGGTCAGAGAACTAATCAGAGAACCTACAAAAGGCCAGTTGGTTTTTTTTTAGCTTCACGTTCTCCCAAAAAATATTAAACAGGCTGATAAAAATCTGAGTTCGTTGGTTACATTTACTTGGCTTCGATGGGTGATACATTTTGAGGTAACTTTAGTTCATTGCGAGACTGCACAAAGTTGAACCTGTTTTTCAGTTTGATGAACATGAACGCTGCTGCTTGACTCGTTACATTCGCTCCCCGTTGAATTTCAAACTGAGTTTAACGTTTGAATATAGGTTCAAAAATATTGCAAACTTTTAAAGACTTGAAACTGTCTTGATCCTAAAAAAATCTGTACCAAGATCTGCAGGAGGTCACGTTTTGTGAAACTGAGATGAGCCTTTATTTCACACACCACGCTGAGTCCCTGCATACTAGATGTTGTTACACTAGATTCAAAGCTTCTATGACATCTTTTCTTAATGTTTTTTTATTTGTGAAAGCTCTCTGTACTGTCCGACATATGCTTTTATGTAACAATTTATTCACTTTATTGAATTGACTTCCTATGTGCTCATGCCCTTTGGCCCTTTTCTCGTTTTAATCTGCTTTGTCTGATCTATTTGATCTTTTATTTCAAAGGTGCTTTGTTAAACCCTTAAAGGCTTTATATGTGATTTTTCACTCTTAAATATAATATAAATCAAGTATATCCTCTGAAAATAACTCTGTGAGTAATGACTGTCTACAATGAGTGTAACACTCGAGTCCCACTGTCTGTGATGTTTTCAGAGTCCTATCTTCAGTTTGTTTACATCGTCAGGACAGCCGGCTGACTCCTCCCCTCGTGTATAAAAGTTGTTTAATTGAGGGACTAGAGAAAAGAAGAATAACATACTGTACTCACTGCTTAACTGTGTTTCTAGATCACGCTCATTTCAGGTAAATTTACATGCAGTGTGAAGATACGAGCATAATAAAGATCGCTAGCATTAGCATGCTAACCCACAATGCACCGCAAGTTGTTTTGGTTTCATGCTGGTGCTCAAGGGCGACATCTGCTGGATCAAAAAATCGCATATATAAAGCCTTTAAGACAATGGCTAGTGCAAATTAGGAATCTGTTCATGAATCTGTGAATTTTAGTGATTGCCTCAGAGATATCTAGTGTCTGAAAAAGGAAATCGTAGTTTTTCATATTGCTAGAGGTTGTTGTCAGTCTTGTTGATCAGTCTTTTTCCTCTGAACTTCGGTCTGTAAAGTTGGAACAAACATGATTACTTATGCAGATTCATTTGAAACAAATATGTTCCTGACAATGGAAAATGAAATTCCCTGTGTGGTAAGTGACACAAGATGTTTAGCACCACAAAATCCAAACCTGGACTGTCTGACACTTTCTCAAAACTGATGCTCTGTTTCACCTGAGCCGTCAAGGCTTGTGATCGAGGGATGTTCTACAGGTTTTTTTTATGGTGTGTAAGTGCGTGTAAGTGTGTGTGTGTAAGGTACCCCCCCCCCTCCTTGCTGTGTCCGGGGAGGAAGAGCCAGGACAGAGGAGCCCTGGGGCCAGGAGCCTGGGAGGACACAGGGAGGTCACTTCATCCACTGGTGTCACACTCTAATTCATCTGTCAGGGCCCGAGCAAGAGCAACATGCATCCATACACACAGGAGTACACAAAAACACACTGTTTCACAGCGACATAACATCACTCTGTGAGTCACAAATACACACACACAAACGTCGAGGTGACAATAACTCACTTTAGCGGCTTTCAACAGGATCTCTCTCTCCTGCTCGTCCTTCCTCTGCTTCTCCATTCTTTCAAGCTGTTCGAAGAAGCGCAGCTGAGAGCGAACGTCTGCCGATTGCTCGTAGCACTCGTCATCCTGACAAGGAAACAGAGAGACGATCACTGCAACAGCTGAAGTCAAAGGTATAATTCCAATATAATACTTCAAGTTATACGACAAATTCTTAGAACTTCTGCCCCTCAGTCCATCTGTACATGCTGAATTGTTTAAAATTTATGTTATTGTACAAATAGCTAGAATATTTCTTCGGTCCAAAGTGTGTTAAGTTGTAAAACAGAAGAAAAAAATCTGCCTGAAATCAATGAGAGAACATTTTAAACACTTGAGAAATAAGAAAAAGTCATGTACGCTCTTTTTCTTTTCAACATCGTGAATACTTTAAAATGTAACATGACAACATTATTAATGAACAATCGTGCTGACTAGTGGAGGTATATTTCTTTCTAATTGATGCATTACTGTAAGTACTAAAACGAACGATTCTTTGTATGATTGATGAACTTCTAAATGTCAGGTTGGATACTATTTTAAACTTATATTGATGAATAACCCACAAAAGAAAACAAAAACCCAAAACAAAAATCAGACGTGTTTAGCTCGGTTGGTAGAGCAGGCAGGCCATACAGAGTCCTGCAACATCAGCCCTGGGTTTGACCCTCATGCATTTAGAAGATATCAGCCCCACCATCTCTGCCCTATATTTCCTGTTTCACTTCAGCTACAGATCTATCAGGCAAAGGCCAAAAGAAAATATCCATCTCTAAATGAACACGTGGATTAATCACCTATTTGTTGTGCACTATTCCACAGTGAGTAAAAGTAAGCCTCACTTTGACAAAACTCAGAGACTTTCATGTAGAAAAAAAAAAACTGCTACTGTGTTAGAAGGTCGCTAAGTTTAGAAAGAGACGCTGCTGAACAGGTTGAGAAAAATTACACCAAAAAAAAAGGTAAAAATGAGGTTCTGGATGTTTAATCCCAAACAAAAGTGTTTTAAATGATGCATGGGTCATCAATGATTAGAATCTAATATGGATAATAAATAAAAGTGCAACATTTGGATTTAGCTAATTTTCCCATTGTCGTCTATACTGTTATATTTTGTTATTTAGTTGTGATATAAAATGAATTAAACACTTTGTCGAGGTGTGAATGCATTGATTTTTATTACAGTGAAAGTGCTCTGTGTTAGAAGACTGTCACTTAAAGTGTCCTTTTAAAACACCACTTTGTTACGAAATAAAGTGAGAAGGACAACATGATGAAATAAAAATTAAAATGTCTAATTCAAACCCAATGTTAATGTGACTGTTAGCTGACAGTCACATTAACATACTGAACTAAAATCAAGCACAGCTTAAGTAGAACAGCAAATATCTAAGTGACAGACTTCAGGCATGCTAACTTTTCAATTTGCAGACAAACTTTCCCGTGCGTTATAGTACATCACGTCTCCACAGGGACACAGAGAATAAAGTGTAAAAAACAACTTTTGTAGGTCATCAAACATTAATAGGATAATTGCTTATTTTAAATGTCTGTGTATTTGTATGTAGGAATGTGTGTCTTGATTTCTCTATCTCTCTTCTTCTCTTATCTGTGTGTGCGCGTCAGGTCTGAATGTGTGTGTTTCCATGAGAGAGGCTGGGTGGCACACAGCACTAAGACACATCAGAGGAGGCTCATCGCCAGCACCCCCCCCCCACCCCCCACCCTCTTTCTCTCTCTCATCCAGCCTCCCTTCCTCTTTGTAGCAGCGCTGAGCCTGCACTCTTGCCGTAGCTCCTGCCGCCACTGCCGGAGCCTGGTTCGCTCTTTAAGGCCGCTTTGTCTTTTGGTCTTTTTTTTTTTTACTTTTCTTCTTCTTCTTTTTCGCTGATGTCAACAGAGTGGCTTCACAGAGCTTCATGCCTCTCTCACACACACCTCATTTACAAAACCACAAAAAAGGAAGAGCGCGAAAGAAGTGGAGAAGAAGCGCAGAACAAGATGGGGACAGCCGTAGCGATTGCTCTTCCTCCCTCCTCCTCCTCTTATCTTCTTGGTGTCAGGAAAAACACATTTTTCAAAGTTCCCTCCCAGTCCTCCCAACAATGCTAAGATTTTGGCTCGTAGTGGAGATGGATGTGTGCTTTAATGTTCACCAATTAAATGTGGTTTTATAGATACATTTAAAGGCTATGAGAGGTGGGGTAACCAACAACGGGAAAAAAGTAGAGGTACGCAGACATTAGAAGATCTTTTGTACTTTAAGTTTGGGATGACTGACAGAAGTCAGAGCTCTCCTGTTTATTACCTTGAGGGCAAAAACGATTTCTTATGGTAACTTTTAGGGTGTAATGTTAGTAGTAAACTTACATTTTGGTCTGTGAGATCAGTGTGATGGAGATAAAGTTTCATTTGTGTGCATGCTGCAGCTACTGCGTGTATGTGTGGGATAAACAGGACGGTCCACATTCAGGGTTGTGGGCTTCAGGTGTTTGTGTTCTTTTGAAGATCCTGATGAAGTCACTGACAAGCTTAAGTTTTGATTCAACAAAATGTTTACTTCCATACATTACGGGCAGATTGTCAGTTTGCATACATGGACACCGCTTTACAATAAGTGAGGACATTTGACATCATGTTGTTAGCTCAGTGCTGCTGATCTGTTTGCAGCAGTCACATTATAGAAACGTCACTCTATTGGCTGGAGCTGAATTCTCTGGAGAATATCCTGCTGTGTTCTCACATCAGCTCACTCAGACTTTCTGTGGAAAAAATAGTGGCAGGGGAAACTCTGGGTGAAGTCTAGAAGTTTGCGTTCACACATATATAAAACCAGTTATTTTAGTGAACATATTGAATACGGTTTAGGCTTTAAAAAAATATATACTGAATGTCTTTGAACAGCGGTGTAACTACGTGCCTACCAGTTTTGGGGTGTAGTTGTTTTGTCAGGGCTCTTCCTACCTTACAGGCGTCCAGTCGGTGCTGGGCTATAGTCGAGACTTTTTCCACCACAGTACGAAGCCGTGACTGCGTTGCATGTGAGATGAACGTAACTGCCTCCATAGGGACCTCGGTGACTCCAAATTTTTTCGCTGCAAACCAAACACACACAAATATAATACAAAATGTTATCACATCATGATTATTAATCCAACACTTCTTTCTCAAACAACAGGTACATTTAGTTCTATATCCTAGGTGGAGAAAGGCCTCTATGCTATCCTATATAACAAGATGTGCCCATGACCACCTCTTTAAGCGGACTCAAACACAGTACCTGAGAACGGTACGTTTGTGTTCACACTGATCAAATGAACCAGACTTTTGGGGTCAAGCACCTGGGACCGGGTCCCCAGTATGAAACCACCCTTAATTTAAAAAACAGATAAACAGGCAGAAAGGGATTGTTTTTATTTTTTTTTTTCTTAACTTCACCTTCCTTAATGAGAGAATCAACAGTTAAAGACGTAGAGGATAATTGTTTCACTGCATTTTATTCAGTCAGTAGCTCCCCTCACACACACACACACACACACACACACACACACACACACACACACACACTGTACCGACACACACATTCACACAGAGTCTGGATTAGTACTTGCAATTAAATCCTAGAAATGGGAAAAAAAGTTAATTTGTTTCACAGTCTTAGTGCGAATTCCAGAGTGGCTTTGCTAGCTAAGCTCCTCCGAGTGTGTAAACGACATTGACCATCTCTTTTCATAGCAGAAGGATAATTTAGTTTCCTTGGAGCAATCCTCATCTGAAGTCATAACAAAAGAGAGGAGGACAGACTTTGGTGGGGTTACTATCTGTTTCCAACTTCCTTTTAAATTATTCCATTACCATAATTTTCTCTCTGGCACCCTTTTAAGTAAACCACACCAATTATTTAAATCAGCTGAACAATACATATACTCCTCAGCCGCTCAGCCTTTGAAATGGATGGAGGGAGCCCTGTTAGCCTTATAATTACAGTGGCAATACATGTGGCAATGTCACGAGGTCAAAGAGAGACACTAATAGGCTTCTGCTTTCTGAAAATAAGATCTTTTAGGGACATTAATATTTCAAAGAAAGTTAAAGAGACTCAAGAGCCACATTCCTGTGAGCGAAAAACAACTTGCTCTTCAACTCGTACTGGAAGAAAAACACACTGTTATTCATCAAGGGGGGAAAAAAAGGGCCTTTAACACAGCTTGGAACTGAATAATGAACTTAACAACTTTTATGGATCCATCTTAATTTTCTACATGAAAGACCCAAACTATAACAAGAATAATCTGCACCAGAGATTTGAATTTTCTGTACATGAAAACATCGTGGCTCTAAGGAGGGCAACACCGAACTGTCTGTGTTGATCTGGAGCGAAATATCTCAGCAAATTGGGACTAGAACTTAATATGAGATTTGGTGCAGATGTTGATGGTTCTCTAAATAACTTGTAAGCCATTTTGATGATCATCTGATATATGGGAATTATGAGGAGAGAAATAGAAAGTGGTTGCACTTTCAAATTTGCATTTCATAGTAGTACAGACTATTGACATTGCTTTTGGACACATTACATTTCTTTACAATTCATCAAGTTACACTATCAGGTTAATATTTGGGGTTTGATTTTGACAATCCACAGTTTCCTTTCCTTCTCTCCATTTCCAAAGTCATCCCCCCTCTGTACCGTCTTCAGAGGTAGGAACAGAGGCGTTACAGAGGCCATGGTATCAGCTGAACGCAGCGCTGTGTGTCTATGTGGAGCTCCTGCTGTGTTGTGCTTCCCCAATGCTGACACACAAGGTATATTCACAGACTCGGACAGCAATATTACGCTGTCGCTGAATCGATAGGATTGTACAAAGACGTGATGACTTCTGAGCTTTGTTACAGCACTTGTTCGGCTTGTTTTAAGAAACCCCCTTTCACACATGCACTGCACTTTTGGAAATGTCCTTACATTATCCGAGTGGGGTGCATGTGTCAACACAAATAGCTGAATGTTTCATGTATTCATACTCATGTATTCTGTCATGCTGTGAGTATGAACATATATTTAGTATATAACTGAATGGTATCCTTAGCAACAATTGCTCCCCCCAAAAGTGGCTGGCATTAAAACTGGACTCGGCCCTAAGTAACCCATCTTTACTAACATAATACTTAAACATCTGCCTGAAAGTATGGGGCTCTTATTTTGAAATCCATCTCATATTTGCTTAATGTGATGCCAGGAGAAAAAAACAGCTTTTGCTCTCAACATTAAGGGATCAATATCTCAGCAACCACAGGTCACCCACAGCCACTGAGTTATGCATGAATGGATTTATCTCAACTGGCCAACAGGAACTGCATTCAACAGAGGTAAGAAAAACTAACTGAGGAGAAAGCAGAGAGAACCAAAAATGTTCAGTAAAGAAAGTGAAATTCAACAGTGGAAACAGCACTGTAGAATAAAATGCTTTCTAGAGACACACTTTTAAGAAAGCGTCGCTCACTTTCAAGTCAAGCAAAAGTGGAACATACTATTCTTTGGCTCTAACAGATTTGTTTCTAAAGCTAACAAGCTAGCCAATTTCAATGAGCTGTAGAAGTTTTCACATTAATTTAAATAGCTGTGCTGTTGATTTTGACATCAATAGGTAATGTTATCATGCACAAACTAAAAGTAACTAAAGCATTCAGATTGTAAGTGTTTGTGTTGACCTGTGTTCTCCTCAGTAGCAGGTCAACTTAGTTTTCTTATGAAGCTGACTGAATGTGAACGCAGCAGGAGGCACCGCCTTTGTTTTGAAAGTGAATCATGTTCAAGTTGCATGAAATAAGGCTTGAGAACACATAGCATCCAATCAGCCATTATTTATGTCAATGCCTTAACAGTACAGAGTAAATAATTCAAACATATTTTTTATATTAATACCCTAGAAATATGGTATCAGCCTGTATACTATTTAATATAGATGATTACTTTGAGATGTTTAGAAGTGAAATCTGATGTGTTGAGCTGAACTGGGTTTGTGTGTGCGGCTGTGATTCCAGACCTTAAAGATAACAGTTAACTAAAATTACTTTGAGGGTTTTTTTTCTCTGCAGAGCTCCAGCTGTGCCTGAGCTCTTGTTTTTCAGATGGTTCAGATGGGGGAGTTGTGTGCTGTTTGCAGCTTTTGCAAATTAAACTACCCCCCCACCCCACCCCCCCCATCCCCACCCCTCCACAGCTAAAGGACCAGCCTGAAGAGTTTTGAGGGGAGGAAAGAGAGAGAGGTTTTGGAAAAGAAGGGCGGCTCAAGTGTGTGTTTGGAGGGGACAAATAAGACAGGAAAGGAAAACGAGACACAGAGAGACAATGAGGCGAAAATAAAGAAGGAGACACAAAGTGGCGGCCAACGTCCTCTCCTCGATACAGTGTTCAAAACAAAGCAAAATAGAAATAAGAAGAAAAGAATGGGGAATCTGGACTCTGTTGATTTAAAAAATAATAATTAATAGAAATAATTAGAAAGATATTCGATCAAACTCTTTTTGGGGACAAAGGGGGGCAGGAAAGGTCACAGTGAAGTTTCAGTGGGATGTTTAACAGTGTATGAATGAATGAGAGAGCCGAGCTGAGTCCAACTCTGTGCTCTTACAAACGAAGAAGGAGCAGCCGAGGCTTTCTGATTGAGTGGAGCTGGCAGGCCGGGGGAGCCTCCCTCGAACTGCTGTCAGCTGAGAGCGCGGAGAGGCCAATCACTGACACAACAAAGCTGCAGAAGTGCCACTTCCCCAGCAGGGGGCGCCCTAGCCTCTTGCCCTGCGTCATGCTGCGTGCCAACCCCCCCCCCCCCAGAGGAAAGATTTATATTTTTAAACAACCCCTCCTGCCTTAAGGTGACGGGATAACAACCATGCCAAGAGTCCACGTAAGGAAACATGGCCTGCAGGCCTCGGTGCTATGCTCTAAAGATACTTTAATTGAGATGAAACGAGATGAGGGCGCTAGACTCCCCGTCACGTGGAATTATGCTGTGTTTTTTTTGATCTGGTGCACAGGAGCAAGATGCTAGGCGCAGTTTTATTTTGAGTAATAACGCTCATTATACGTTTTCACGGGTTTCCCAGTGCAACGAGAGCCTCGAGTACATTTCAAGCAATAAAATGGACTGCCGCTAGCAAAAAGAGGTAATGAAGACACTATCACTCTCATGTTGAAAACAAACCAAGAACTCTCCGCCTGTATCGATTAGCACACGCAACACCATGTGCTATCAGAGTGTCAAGATCAACTATAAAGAGAGAAAGAAATCAGAACCTCACTGCCAAGTCTCATTCCTCTAAACTCTGTTCCTTTAGTCCAGAGGACAATCTGACAGCCAGCCTTCAAAAGACAAACCCATAAAGTATTTATGTGTGTGCCTGAGGTCCAGTGAGCTCAGACAGCCACTGAAGAATTCATTAAAGGAGGTGAAAGAATTGTTAAGTGTATCAAATTTAAACCGAGGCCAAACAAGAAAAGGCTCAGTCTGAACCACTGAAGGAGAGAAAATCAAAACTGTCTTTAGTGATGACACTATAAATACAGAAACAACATGTTCCGCACACAAAAGACAACAGGAAAGGGGATTTCATCACTTCGACAGCCGGGATTTTCAGCTTTGGGTTGTGTTTAGAGAAAAAGGACGAGGGGGGGGTAAATTGTTTATGTGCTGCAATATTTCTACATTGCAGGATGGATGAAGGGGTAATTATCTCACCTGTCTCCAGAATACGTCTATGAAGCAGTCCCGGATGGAGAAAGGCCTCGTCTTTACACGAGCGGATCTGTGTTCCCACGAGTTCAGAGTTGGTGGCGAGTATTCTGGCGCTCTCCTCATTCAGATTTACCCCGGCCATGGAGGCAACGTCGTTGATGTCATCATCATCCCTGTGGTGTAAGAGATTTGGAGATCAGTAGAAATACACAACACTCCTTTTGGTGATGCCTTTATCCAAATCTACTTGCAATAAGTTAAGTCAACCATGTGGATATAACCGAAAGTTTGTGAGACTCATGCACTTCATCAAGAGTTCTGGATTTACTCTCAATGTTTGTGATGGGATAAGGAGAAGTCTGAACGGCTGAAGTTTAGACAGCAACAGATTTTTGTGTCTGCTTTCCAGTTGTTTGTTAAACGTTCTTATTGTCCAGCGGGCATTAGAAACTTGCTCCACCACTGTTGCGCAGGGAAGGAAAACAGGAGTGTGTTTTTGCGAGGGAGTTGCGAACTGATTGGCAAATAGTGTCCAGCTTGGATACATATTTCTATTATTTCTTTGTTTTACCATAAGCATGAGACATTTGCAGTATGGAAAAGCAAGCAACAGTGACCTGTATCCAATTCAAGCAACCAATGGCGAATGTGCAGGGTGTGGAGGAGTAATGGTGTGGGAGAACTGGAGAAAGTGAAAGACCAGGAGGACTGCTGCATTCTGGAAAAAGCTGCAGGGGTCAGCTGGAACATGTAGGAACACGAGCCATGAGCTCATGGCAGCAATGTAATCATGAGACAACAAGAGCCTGGTAGAGCAGCTTGGTTTAGATCAAGGTTGACCTCCTGGTGGTGTGCATCCAGTTAAAAGTGTCTCCAAAACGGGAATGGGTTTGACAGAAAAAATGGTGTCAGAACATGGAAATACGTAATATGTTCAATTACTTCTAGACCAAAGCCAATCAAATTCCAGCTTGATGATCTTCAATAAAAGAGAATATGAGTTAATACATGTATTGTTTAAATGTATTAGGTCCTAAATTGGTGGTTAGGATTAAGTGAAACTTCCCAAAATTGATTATGATTGTATCTGCAGTTTTTTTATTTTTTAAAACCTGATCGTGAGAAAAGGGCTTCCAGAGTGTGCAAGGGAAAGGGCCACAAGGACAGTAGTGAATATGTGAAGTTACAGCATGTACAACCCATACTGGTTGGTTCTTCAATGAGGTTATCCAATGTTGACTACTCCAAAGTTAGTATTCAGTTTTTATACGAAGGAATAGTCTAGTACACAACTCCCTTACCTAACCTAATATCAGCATTCATGTCATAACACCATCATCATATATTCCCAGAGCTGGCCATCATTCATTAGTATTTCTTGGACCACAACATGCATCCGTTTTGATACAGAGTGCTTTGCTGGGGTTGTAATGGCACAGAATTCCCATTTGAGGGTCTTTATGTGGCGGCAGATGACGAGTGTTTGGCAGAGCTCAGTAAAGGATGCTCCTGAGGATTGACACCGAGCAGTGATGAATCTGGTTATAACAAACTCCATTTGTACACCGCTTTGCTCTGTATTTTCATACTTTTTCTCCTTGTTTTTCTCACAAACTAAATGCCCTGTTTATACTTTTTATATGTTATTACATATTAGCAGAGACATGGGACATTTGTGTTAGGGTCATGACATTTCACATGCAATGAGGTCCCTACATCCTTCAGAGGCTGTACTTTCTTTCTGAGTTGTCACCAAGAAAAAAAAAATCCCCTACAATCATTGTACTTGGCACAGTAATAATTCCGATTCTGGGCTGAATTAGCCGAACGCTGACGTGATATGCTTACAGGACTGGCCAGGAGGATTTTCTGAGTGGCTTTGACGGAGGGAACAAAGAACCACAGAACACACACAGAGCAGCCTCTCGCACACTCACTGGCTCACCTCCACAGTCATTTACGTCCATGCTGCCGATGTCGGTTGCGACAGAGCTTGTGCGTGTGGTTGTTGTGCTCTTGTGTATGTATGTGGACGCACACACCAAACAGCAAACTCCACCCCGCAGAGGCCTTCCTGCTCCTTGCTGCGGCCACAGAGAGTCGATATGAAACTTGACACCACGGCAGGAGGTTGACAAAGACGATTAGAGCAACTCCCCCGAACCTCACACACCTCTACCTCTTCTCCTATTTTCCTCTTCTCCTCCAGCGCTCGGTCTAATTATGCCTCCACAGAGGGAATCTACACAACAACACGAGCATGGATACATAAGATTATACCCTGTGCGGCACCTCAGGCTGTGCACCTTTCTTCATCACGTCCTCATGGATAACTTAACCTGTCCTGAAGAGAAACATGCCTGAGGCCACGCTCACTCAGGTCAAGAGGAAACACTGTATTTTCACAGCAACAAACTAAAGAGTGTAGTCACGTACATGTACCATGCAGGTAGATGACCTCATCTACCTGAAACACTGTATTGATAACAAGCTCAGTAATGGAGCAAACAAAGAATAAAACAGTTGTGTTTGTTAGGAGGCCAGACGTACAGGACTTGGTTTTGTCTTACGGGGGTAAATCACAGTCCTGTTAAACATCATTTTCATTTTCACCAGTTAAGCTACGGTGACAACAACTGCAACACAATGTGGTCAGATGCTCAGTTACATAATCTCCAAGAAATATTATAATATCCCCGATGTTTCATAATGAAAATGAAATGAAGAAATCTCTGTTATAACCTGTTTAAGAAGCTGTGTTGTTTTTGTTCTTTAAGACGGATCTACTCCTTTACTTAATACACTTATCAGCATGACCATTTCAAGCTTAGCAAGGCACTGGGAAAATCAGATGGACAAGTTCACTTCATGACTTTTGCTGTATAATGTACACAACAAGTACAAGACAGTTCAACTATCAACTATCAAGTGTATTTTCTAAAAGAAGAAAACATGTCAAAGGTTAAGGCTACACTCCATTACTCTCAGATATCATGTGTATGTGTCACTAAAAAGTAGCATTAAAGGATTTTTTTTACGTTTTGGGATGTGGCCTCTAAATGGTAAATGGACTTGGGCTTGAAGCACTTTTCTAGTCTTCTGACTACTCAAAGTGCTTTTACACCGCAGGTCACACCTACACATTCACACACTGATGGCATGCTATGTAAAGTGTCCATGAGAAGTAACTAATCCAATTCATACATGTTCAATCGCAGCAAACGAAGCAGCGGGAGCAACTTGGGGTTAAGTGTCTTGCCCAAGGACACATTGGACATGTGGCAGCAGGAGCTGGGGATCGAACCTCCAACCTTCCAGTTGAGAGGCGACCAACTCTACCAAGTGAGCCACAGCCGCCCCATGTGATCTGTTCAAGGTGAAATGTATATAGAGAAATATTAAATGAGCATCAAAAAGCGCAAACTCAATAAAAACCAGGATCTCTTCTAAACATTATTGATATGACTGTAGAGTCGTAGTTTACATGGAGCTATTTCACAACTACAGCTACAATAAAGCTCAATCACTGGAACCAAAGCAATGTTGCTTTTAAATCGAGGTTGAAGACACATCTGTTTACAGCCGCAGTGCAGAGTGAAATTGTTTAATGAATTAAACAATTTAACTCTGCACTGTAACTTTTAACTCTTTATTTATTTCAATTAATTTCATTTGAATTATTTTTATTTGAACATATTTTCAGATTTTAATAATTTCAGTGATTTTTAAATGTTCTATTTTAATGTTTCTTTTCTTTCCTCTGTCATGATGCTTTTTGATGTCTTGTGTGAAGCACTTTGAATTGCCTTGATGTTGAAATGTGCGAGATAAATAAACTTGCCTTGCCTTGATATCAACAATCAAACTTTGCTTTAAAAACTACACAATCCACTGGGTAACCAAAATAGTAACACAAACAGGTCGTGAATTATACAAAGCAGAGAGAAAGCTAAACTGGAAGCAGCTGTAAAGGTTCAGAAGACATCCCCCAGTCTGACACATGAGTGGTCATATCATGATTCATGACTATAATATGAATGTTTCTTTATCTTGGATGGTCTGATTTCTGCCTCCTTGAGACCACCGGGGCTCAATTCAAATGAGAATCCCAAGACAGGTCTGACATTAAAAGGAGGGAATGAGATATGAAATGCAAAACATTCCCGACTACACCTCTGCACTAATAAAGCAGCGATGTAATTAGCTTCCACAGAAGCTAAAGAGCAGCCTCTCAGTTATTGGTTTGGGTTGGCTCGAGGACATGGAGCCGGCGGTCACATGAATACATATGCATGTCGTTTCCATATCAAGATTGCGTCTCCGAGAGGGCATGCCATAGGTGGTGAGAGGATTGCTTTGCCATTCAGAGGTTGTGTGTGTGTGTGTGTGTGTGTGTGTGTGTGTGTGTTGTGTCTGCATGGAGATGGGGGTGCATCCAGATCTCCTGCATCCCCCCTTTAATGCTATGGATACAGGCCCTGATTGATCCCTGTGCCTAACAGCACAGCCATGCAGGCTTGCTGCATCCAAACTGAGAGACACAACCCCACTGGAGAGGTATTCTTTATTGTGGGTTCACTGGGCAGCTCCTGGGATTTCTGATCATGACTCATATGAGTGACAGCACAAAGGCAAGTTTTGGCACAAGAGTGGCAAATAAATTCAGCAACAAGCTAGATGCTGCTGGATGTTTATTAATTCAAAAGAACACCCACACTCTGGTTGTAATTATTCAAAAAAAAAAAAACCCTGGCAAGGTGTTAACACTGATGGTGCACCCAAGAAGGTGCCAGCATAGCTTGGTTTGATGTGGCTGTCAACAAAAAGATATTCTATTAATGAGGTGCCTACTTTTCCCTAAATCTGAACATAACCTAATTGCATGACTGGTTTCTACATTTACCATTTTTTTGGGAGGTCATTTTTTAAAAACAAGTTTGAGTCATGTTTATTTTTAAAGCATTTTTTTCATTGAAATAGCATTTTTTTAGGGATGTAATCACAAAGTCAGAATGAGCTCACTTTGCTGGAAGAGGATGGAAAAAAAACTTTGAATCTGCATCAGTGATCAGCGAGCACTTTTTGTTTCATCGTTTGCTTGTGCATCTGTGAGTGTCTCTCTCTGAAGCAACTATACGTTAAGTGTTTGTGCGTTTTTTATGTGGACAGATATGTGTCCAGCATGTAGGACAGGGTTGGATTTTTAGGGACTAAGGCTGAGCTCTGAGGTCGGCAGTAGGGCTGAGGGCCTCGGCTGGCTCGCCTGTGATTACAGCGGATGTCGAGTGTTTACAGAGAGAGCTGAGGAGGGGAAGAGGGGGAGAAGCAGAGACAGCTGCTTTCACTCTCTACTGTAAACTAAACACAAACACACACACACACACATACACACACACCGTGCGCAGCAACACAAGCACTTACACAGAAGGCTGGAGCTGCATTGGAAACCCCACAAGCCCTGCAGTATGTATGTGTGTGTTTGTGCTACAGCTGGCCTGCTGGGACCAGAGGCTCAGAGTGACAGCCATACACACATCAGTCCCCCCAAATACAGCCAGTACGGTGCAGGGTAGAGTGCATGCTGACTGACCAGGCTGACCGTATTTACTCAGGTTAAGCTTGTTGTCAGTTTGTAAATCAAACTAAAAGTATTTATTTGAATCCATTTAACTACGTCATTACAACGCTTTCTTCTTAGTGTTGAAGATCGTCCGACCTTGCTTGTAAACCAAACTTGTAAAGCAAATGTTACTACTTCATTTCATTGTTATCTACAGTAACCACACTGATCACACGTCCTGACATCAGTGGAGACACAAAGACGCCTGCAGGATCACTCATCAACGGGCTCGTTTCAACGTGTTTCTATCTTCTGGTAAGAAAAAACTTTAGCAAACACTGGATGAGACTCACAGGTTTTCCAGACACTTGTAACCACGCTGAGGGGAAAAAAAACTGTTGTTAAGGGACCAAGCGCATCATTTACCTTCTTAAACACACAAGTAAGACCAGATCTGGATAGAAGGGAAAATATGCTGCAAAATGTCCCGTGACATGCTTCTTTCGTGACAGTGCTGCTGGGCGTTATCAGGCTTATGTGAACCATTTGGCGTGTGTGTGTGTGTGTGTGTGTGTGTGTGTGTGTGTTGTGTGTGTGTGTGTGTGTGTGTGTGTGTGTGTGTGTGTGTGTGTGTGTGTGTGTGGAGGGCCACTGTGATCACCGCAGGGGGAAAAAAGGTCGTCAGTAACAAGCGAGCCTGACAGCTTAATTACCAACGCAGCTAAAGATTTATCGGTTTATCAATCAGAGCCTCGGGCGCCGCATTTCCCCCCTCAGGAGACGAGAGCCATTACCGTGAACCCATTGGCTCATGTGACCCAGACTCTTCTTCCACCCGCCGCGGTCACACCAGGGCAAACCCTAACCCCCCTGTCAAAGTCAATACAACACATGCGCAAATTTGACACATGCATAAACAACACTCGTAGATTTGTAGGATATACACATATGTTCATGTGCACCCAAGCGGGGACACAAACAAACACAAGTACTCCAGAGATATACATGCAAACATAGCCACACACACGCGCACGTATATGTGCTGCACAAATACACAAAGACTCACACAGACACGGACCACAAAGGCCAGCGTGTGGGCGATGAACCTTTTATGTTTTGAGACAAAAAGCCCAGCTGAAGCAGAGAAAAGACCAGGGAGAACAGAGAGCTGAAGCTGCGGGCTAAATACCGTATGTTTGACTTAACCGAGAGGTATTTTCAGAACCGCATCCAGAAATTCCAAACCATCTGGACACAATTACCTGATTTCTAAATTAAGGTTTAGCTCATTTGTAATGCTGACAATGGGGTTGTGACATTGACACAAGGAGGGCGATGTTGAGGGTGATCTATTGGGTGGAGGTGTGTTTCTATGCACTGGGCAAAGAGAGAGAAAAAGACCACCGATCAACCAGCCGGGGCCAGGCAGGCAGGGCAGGGGAGTCAGGTGGCCATGCAGCCGACTGGGATGAACACTCATAGCCTTAGCTGAGAGTGTAGCCTGTAGTCATGCAGAGGCATCTTAGTGAAATGCTGCCCCCATGTGACTGCTGCCAGGAAAACCAGGCAGGAACTCCAGTGGGGGTCTCCTGATGAGATGTACCTGAAAGTGCCTCCTCCGGGGTCGTTGAGCTTGTTTTTCTGATTCCCAGAGATCTGAACAGCTAAGCCCACGGGACTTTTGCCTGCTTGTATGATGGCTCCTTTCCCCAATGTGCCTGTTAAAGATAGGGGGGGGGGGAACAAAGAAGAAAACACTTTAAAAAAAACAGGAAAAGGAATAATGTTATCATTGAAGTGTCCCTTTCTATCTGCGTCAAATATCCTCCTGTCTGACGACTACCTTCAACTGTGTCTGTCATCCTCGCAGGGGGAGATGGAGAGGGGGGTGTGTGGGGGGGAGCGGTACTGTCGCTCTCCCCAGGTTGGTGCGGGAGAGCGTCGCTCTGTCAATATCACTGCGCTTCACCGGCTCTCCTTACACTCCTAAACCCGCATCCTGCTCCGAGACACGTTTTTTTCCAGAGAGGCACAAGGACTGCCAGAGTGAATTTAAACTTGATTTTAACAGGCATGTTCCTAGCCAAGAGGCACAGAAAAGTATTTTTAGAACTATCCCCGCATTCCAATTTATGGGCATAAAACAACCTACAGATCTTTCACTGCAGGCGATCTTGGAGAAGGGGGGCAGATCAAATTTGTATGCACCTCAGATTGAACACACTCACATACACAGTCATACACGCACGCAAGCGAAAAAAAAAACACATACACACATTGCACACACACACCACCTGAGAGAACACAGCTCTCATAGGTAAAGCGCTACGCCCGGTTGGTGTTGGGGCGATATTTGTGGGCTTCTGTGGGACGAGTGTTTGTGAATCAGTGTGAGTAAGCAGCAGTGCAAATGTTTGAGAAGGCTTTATAACCAGACAGGAGGGGGGGAAAAAACACCTGTTTTCTCTGTGGCTGCTGCCTGTTTACACATCTCACAGCCTACTGAGACAACACCAAGAGTTTCACTAATGGCTATCTTTGTTTAACCTATTTCCCTGGCTTTTTACTTAACCAGAGGGTCAGGCTGAGTTTGAAAATCTTAAAACATCTTGGACAAGCATGAGCCTTAAAGGTGGGGGGGCGGGGTGTAAAAAATTGCAGTCCAGACAGAGAAGAAAAGTGTGTGTCAGAGGCCTTCATCAAAGATTAAAGTAAAACCTACCAGAAGTCTTTTTGTTGCTTTAGTCTTTAACCAATTCTTTAGCACTTTGTTCTGAAGGCCTTAAATGAAAATCACTAGGACTGAATCTAGGGACACAAGATGCTGGAGACGTCTCTTACCTTGTGCTCTGACAGACTGTGTGATCACTACGGGCATCCGGACCTGGCCCCCAACAGTACCTGCTGTCTTTATACCCTGAGGAAGCAAAAAAATTAAAATAAAGATATGTTATTTAGTGTGGTATTGCAAATAAATAAATAAATAAGTGAGAGGGGAATTTAAAAAGTACTGCACTGCATGCCTGATAAACCCCTTTCTCAACTTTTATCACCATCCCCCCCCGGAGAAATTGTTTCGGGGGTTAAAATCTTTGTTCGCTCCCCTTTCAGGCTAACTTTGTTTGCGAGAAATGATCTGTGTAAAAAGCACGCCCAAGAGCCATCGACGCACTCGTGTACTGATAGCTATTCCACTGTAACGCATTAGAAAAGGTCTGCAGTAGTTACGCAAGGAGGGATGCAAAAACAGATACATGGATGATAGGTTTGAAATGAACAGCGTTTCCTGCACACTGCATTAAGAAAGAGATCAATTTAAATGCACAAGCAGGATGGATTCTGTCACTGTACATGACCTACATTTGCTTTTATTTCCAGATAGAGAAAGGAAATAAGAACTCAAGGAGGCAGTGAAGAAGTAGTTTGGAAGAAGGAAACGCAGTAGTGGTAAAAGAACAAGGAGCAGGGAGTTGGGGGGGGGGGGGCTGTGCTGGGCTATTAGAGTCACTTCCTTCCTTGGTAGCAGCCACGGGCTCGACCTTGGGCTCAGCCATCCATTCCTACCAGTTTGCTTCTTGCTGCATATTTTTTAGCCTTGTTTTCCATTCCCTGACACATGCTATATTACTGTTCAAGCTACTGAAAAAAAAGACACAGGCCATTTTTCCCAGAGATCCACTGCAGGGGCCTGTGAGAGTGGGAGGGAAGGAGAAAAAAAAAATACATTCAGCACAGGCAGAGATAGCTAGCACCTCTGGCCAGGCGGCGACACAGTTAAGAGGAGGGGGAAGAGGCAGGTAGAAAAGTTTGGGAATCAGAGGGGGAAAAGGGAAGACATCAAAAGTCACTGTTCGCACGTCACTTTAAAACCCAACTTTCTACTTTGAAACACCAGTTATCAAAGTGATATTAAACGTTTGATATTTACAGCTCATTTAAAATAATTGCTAACATTTGTCACATGCTAGGTACTGTTATTGCATGCTTCTTTCAAAAAGCTCTTAAAACTCATTAGCAGCTCATGCCACTACAGCATTAGCTCTAACATCAACCTATTCATTCTCTGTAAAGCTGTAATTACTTGTGCTTTAAAGAGAAAAAAACGACATTATGACTTATGTTTCCAATCATTCCAGTTGTATCTTTCATGACCTGCAGCTGCGTATATAATATCAATACTTTTTCATGTGTGAGTCAAGACCAAACTCATTTGAAAATGCAAATTGTAACAATGCAACACATGTTAGCACACATTAAGTACACACACACACACACAGTTAGCCATGCGTAATGATCAATGGCTGCATACATGATTATTAGGTCAAAGCTATTTATAGTTGATTTGTTAGCCTGTGATATTGATGAAATTAATTGAAGAACAGGATTTAGATGTAGAAATATGAAGATGACTATTACCTTTAAAGGTTCATAATGTTATATGTTTGAGTCGACATATACATGTGTGTATTTAAACACATTGCTTGAATAAGGAATAAACTCATATGTAGTGATATGGCCTAGTTTTCTTATTCAGTACATTCACCTTCTATCATTTGCCCTGAGGAACTTAAAGGGCCAGCAAGTTTCAAATGAACAAGTGATGCAATGAAAAAAAAACATAACACTTGACTAGTTTATTTCATTTGAAATCCTCAATGTATTGGAAAAAAAGAGGAGTTACAGTTGTATTTCTTGCAATAAAAACAATTACAGTTACGACATACGGTACCATGTCTTTATTATTCGTATGATAATTATTATCCCCCCCCGCCCCTTGCAGTAAACGTAACAATACAAGAAACTTAAATGATAAAAGTCAACATCTAGAGACTTAAAATGACAATTACTGCACTTTAAAACCAACCTATGAGATTTCATATTAAGACTTTTCCATACCACTGGAAGAAAAGCTTCTCATACGCTGTGGTAAGAGCAGACTCTCTTAGCCTAATTCAACTAGCTGTCTGGTTTCAGACTGTTGTTCTGCCACGGGCGATCACTTACTAATGTTTTGTGTGATAGCTTATGTTGGTGTTTATATGCATGTGTGTATGTGTGTGTGTACCCGCATAAGAGAAAGAGAGAGCGAGAGATGGAGAGAGAGAGAGAGAGAGAGAGATAGAGTGAGAGAGACCAGAGGCATGTTCTGGACATAGACTGCGGCCGCCACATTGCTTTAAAATTGACCCGGGGCTGACCTAGTTACCTCACTTCACCCTTCAACGGGTAGAGGGAGAGAGTGAGGGAGTGAGATGAGAAGAGTGATGCGGGGGTAGATACAGTTGAGAGGAACTGTCGGAAAGGGATGGAGAAGAGAGAGACAGAGAGTGAGAGTGGGAAAAAAAATAACGAGGAAAATGGTGAGAGAGAAAAAAAAAAGAGAAAAAGGAGAAGAAGACGGAGGGAAAGCGAGAGAAAGACGAGAGGAGAAACATTTTAAAAAGAAAGAAAGAGAGAACCCTTTGGCTCTCCCAAACCTCTGCCTGGACCGCTGAGAGTCTGACCTCATTGACCCATCCTCAGACACACACACACACACACACACACACACGTACGGTTTACCCACACACCACCGTACTGCTGTGTTTGGAGTGAGGCTGTCAGTGGACCCTGCAGGTCACCTGGCTGTACTTCAGCTGTATACCAACAATATGACTGAGACACCTGCTCACAACCTCAGGTACAACTTGTGCACTTGCCAAGGGAAGAGGGTGACTTAAAAAAAAAAGACGTTAACCTGGACAGCAGCACAAGGTTGTACTCACTGTTAAAGCATGTCCCAACAATATTGATTACTTTCTGACTTGTATTTAATTTTCAGTGAAGATTTGCTGGCCTGCTTGATAATATAGTATGCAAAAACCTGTTTAGAAACTGCACCAGCTCTTTTCAGACACCGCTGTACCTTGCAACAGAAATGCCACTGTTTGGCTGTAGGTCCACTTAATTGTATGGATTTCATTCATTCGAACTGTTTTAAATTGTACATACATAGGTTTGGTTAATTGCAAATAGTGTTTCTATGTTTATTCCTGCACGGGTGATCTATCTATCATTAAATTAAGTCATATAACAACTATTAAACATGTTTAAATTAAAGTAGATTGAGGAGATCTGGTTAAAGAAACAACAAACAAAGCCATTGATGATAATGTGCTCACTAAAGTGAAAAAGAAAAACTACCCTTAACTTCTTTTTTAGGTCTGTGTGTTGTGTGTCCACCTTACAGCCTGAGAACTAAACACTCAGGACTTAAATGACGCTATAGGCAGAGGTGCAACAGATCACAAATGGCACAGTTTTGGATTATGTTTGGATTGTTTGTCAGAAAAAACAACCTCGCCAGGACTCACACTGTGCATCTCCATGGATCTTTTAAATATCTGAGTTCAACAGGCTGTAATGAAAAAAGCTGCGTCATGTCAATAACAGTATTTGGTACCCCTCATCATGGACATCAAACAAACACTCAATATAAATCTTCTGTCACTAACACGCTTGCTGTATTCTACAAAAACACGATTTTCGGTGAGCCGAACAGATCACTGATCAATTGTGACCCTTTTCACCACCGTGGGTTCTCCAGATTCTTAACATTTATAATGTCAATATTTCTCATATATGTGTTTTTATTTATAAAACATCGAGTGAAGGGAATATCCCTGAGCATTTCAAGAGTTACTTTATTCTTAATTTTCAGGTCCATTCTTACTCAACCCGTCAAGCTTTAGATCTTCATCCTCCCAAATGTTTGACTTCAATTCGTCAATTCTCGATTCGATTTAGAGGCAGCAAATTATGGAACATGTTTTCCCATCTGTCAAAAACCTGCTGCTCAGTAAAATGTAACAAAACCTGTCTGAAGCAACATTTAACTGCTATACATTAACTACTCATTATGCATGTATTTACGGTTTATCAGAGTTACTTGTAAGTTTTTATAAGTATTAGTTTGGTTTTGCTGTCACTACAGGTGTGTTTTAAACACATATCACACACTCACACACATTTGCTGCTTTTGTTTTTCATTGTTACTGTATGCAGTTAATACATCTGTGTACATATTCTTTTCTGCATCTTGACTATGTTTTGCTGAGTTGAGTTTTTTTAATTTGGTGATATTTTAGCATTATTCAGGTGGAGGGTTAAAGAGTTTTAAGAGTTTTCTGCCTCTTCCTGCACTGAATGTTGTCTATTTTGTTATAAATAAATAAATATGACTAATATTACAGTGTGCAGTGTGTGACACTGTGAGGGTTTGAGATAATATAAAGAATAATAAAAAAAAATCATTTAGCCAACTGAACAGTGTAGACTTAATAAAGTATTCAGACATAATTGTTTTTTTTCCCTTGCAACTCTCTAAAAGACGTCTTTAAGAATCTGCAGGAACCCTGTATGAAAATGAGGAAAGGGACTGTTTTGTAATCACACTTTGCCTGGAAACACAATGTACCATCAAATAATAATAAAACTGACAGAGTAAGCTCACCCCGCTGCGAGAGACAGTCAATAAGGTTTTTATGAACATTAGCACTACATTAAAAACCAAAATACAAATCCTTACCATGGTTTCAGTTTGCCTATTTAAACATATATCTGGGTAATTCAACAGTCACACCAGGGCTTAGACATGGCCATGTACCAGCGGTCAAAGGACTTCAACTATTGCATCTGCATGCATGAGGTCAAGGTCAGTGTTGGTGCTGCTGAAGCAGGACTTCAAACTCTTTTATAAACAATTTACAAAGTACTTTTGTTGAATTGGTGTTTTTACGGATAAATCTGCCTTGATAACGTAGAAGACTGCTTTGGCCTCCTAGCACCCTTGTTTTAGCAACACGTGAAAAACACTTTCCTATGTTCGCAATCTATTCTTAAGCTCATGGCGCTCAGTGTGTAAGGGCACGTCAGACTAACTGTTGCTTGTTAAGCAGCCAACGATCTGGCAGCAAAGTGTGGCACAAGGCAAAAAGGGGTTGGATTAAGTCTCTTTATTGTACATTATATGTTTGTTTTGAGCATAGTATCAGTAGGGCCAAAAGAAGTGTCAGCTTTCCCTTTAGAAGCCAGGAGCGCCTGCAGGCAGACACGTTACTTTACACACGGCTTATTTCAGCCTTTAGTCCTAAACAGATGCACACAAGTGTAGGAGTTTCACAGAATTATTATATGCTTTTGTGTTGTGTCTCACACATGGATCAAAATGTACTCCATACACACACACACACACACACACACACACACACACACACACACACACACACACACACACACACACACACACACACACACACACACACACACATGCACTCACACCCTTGACCCTGTAGGTCTGACTCCATCACATTCACATATATTTCTCTTTTGAATGTAGGAATAGTGTGGGTCAATATTTGTCTCAGGCTCTTACTCTTACCACCCTCAAACACACTTTGAGGGTGAAGCCCATTTCTACGCACTAACTGTTACAATATCCTTAAGTCACTCTGGACTTAAGTAGATTGTGCAGACAAAGTGTGAGGATAACAAATGTGATTATCTGCACTGGCCTCTGTTACAGCTTCTCTGCTCCATACATACCACAGCAGCTGCATGTCCGAGCGTCCCGCCGGGCAGTGCACTGGCACCCGTAGTAGTGCTGACGCTGTTGGGGTGGCGCATGCGGACAGCTGGCCCAGCCGCGATGGCAGGAGGAGTGCTGCCGGGCGCTGGTTTGACTCCCTGCTGCGGGGGCTGGGTCAGGGAATGCTGACTATTCAGCAAAGACAGCCTGAGGGCCGGGAGGCTCTTCTGTTGATGGGCAGAGAGAGGCCAGAGTTTACAGTTAGAGAGGAAAACAAACATGCAGTAGAAGAAGAAAAAAAGCATTCACAGCTGCAGACACAAATGCTGCTGCTGTCAACGGGCTGATTTAGCAAAGTGTTATCAAATACAAGCGGATAAATGGACATGAGGCGATATCTGTATATTTCAAACACTATGATTTAATATATTGTTTAAAAAAAAACTACAACAGGGGAACAATTGGATTTCATTTCAGGAGAACAACCCAGCAGTTTATTGAGTATTGTATATAAAATATATGAAAATGGCCATTAGGCATTTCTGATAACACACTGTCAGAGCCGACCTGACTGAGGAGCCGATGTTGTTCCATACAGACTATTTCAGGCAGATTTTTGACACAAGCGACCTAACATTGCATGACAACATGTGTTTGTGGCAGGGTTGGGCGGTCGGGCCTTGATGTGACGCTCATCACGGCTGGCTGGAGGAACCTGCTGGCTACTGGCAGGGACTGCTGGGGGGGGGCCACTGTCACACACAGTCAGAAGTCAGGCCAGGGGCGCGTATGTGTGTGTGCGAGTGTATTATTGTAGTGTCGGGCCTGGCCGTCAACGGTGCTTATGAAAGGAGTTTAGTTTAGGGAAGTATAAAGGATGGTCAGCCTAAGGAGTCAAGTTAGGGTTTTAAGGGGGTAGGTTAAAGAGTAGATCAGAAGACCATTTTTATGTTAGAGGTCAATTAAGAAAGAAGCTAAAGGGCACATCCGACTATAAAAGTAGGGCCTAATTCAGTGGTTCTCAACTGGTGGGTCAGGACCCAAAAGTGGGTCGTGGAGTCGTTTCCAGTGGGTCGCGAAAGTTTGCCTGAGGTCCAAACTGCACAATTTTTTAGAAAGAAAAATCTCATTAGTTGAAAAATATCCAAAATTTGGGTCGCGAGTTGGTGGTGGGTCCTGAGGCTAGACTAGTTGAGAAATACTGGCCCTAAATGAAGAGGGAAAGTGTAGTAGTGAGTTTAGTAGTAAAAGACCAACTAAGAGGACCTGCTTTAGGAGAATATTAGAGTTGGAGAAGGCTACACAAAACCAGTTTCAGGGCCGTATTAGGGGTGAGCAGGAACTCCACCTTGAGAAAAGGCACCAGGTAAGGCTGCGGAGATGACTTGAGCTCAGTCTGCAGCCGGCTGGTGAACTCCTCCGGTTCAATCTTGGCATCCTGTTAGAGAGAGGGGGTAGAGTATATAATTTATGACAGAAGTGAGAGAGTAATAAAAGACAAAAGGGGAACTTGAACACAGCAAGATCTCCCATCATGATGCTGATGATCAACCACTCAACTTCCATCCTGGCACCTCAGGGTGCAGCTCATTAATGTGCAAATGTGTAGGAGGTTAATATTCATGATAGAGCAAGGGTTATTCTTTTTTAGAAAGAGTTTTATGCTGCCACCTACAGGTTTAAAGCATTCAATACAACAACACATTTCAGTGTCCACTTTGATCTACTCGTACGTGAACTGTACAAAAAACACTTGAAAATGAATAATTAAAGGAGGGTTGTCAATCAGATATAATGAGAAAAATTGGCTTTTATTTTATTCTGGCAATTAAAAAGAAGCAGCTGACAAGAGACTTTGTACTTATCAAATTGAGAAGCAAAAAGTGACTTACGACCCTCCGAAAGTTTGTCAAAACATTCTTAAAATGTCTGTTTACCAAGACTGTCTTGTGCAAAACATTCTCATCACACGTGGACAACAGCTTTGATGGGATCGTGTGTGTGATTAATAGATTTTGAGGCTTTTACCAGCAGATCCTGCACCAGACCCTTGACGTTTTTGGAGGTCTCAGGGGACGGAGAATTATGAGACGCCAGCTTGATGAGGGTCGCCAGGAAATTCTTACACTTTTTGACATTCTCTTGCATTTCCTGTAAAAGATAACAAAAAATAGTTATTTACCTTCGATACAAAGTTAAATAGAAAACTGGCAGCCTGAGTTTTTTTAATTGCTCACTCTTTAGACACTTCAGGATCACAGATTTGTATCTGAAGGGCTGGTCAACATTTGAAGAAATTATTATCAATGGTTGTTCTGTTTATGTTGCTATTAGTCTAAGCTGAGTGTGAATGCAGCGTCAGAATCAGATGATAATAAAAAGGTGTATGGTGACATTGTGAAAACAGCCTTGTATCCATGCAGAATCATTTTGATCAGTACTAAAGAAGCTGCCAAGCATCAGTCACAAATCAGATTGAAGTGCAAACTTAGCATGTTGCCCAGTCATTTCTGAAGCCAAATGAGACATGGCACCTTGTCCAATCACGCTACCACTGGCAACAAAGCGTGGCTCCTGAATATAAGATGTGGGGATCTGTGAATGTGATTTTGAATCTACCGGTATGTGCATGTGAGCCGTCATTTATGGCTAAATCTACAAACCTATGTGTCCCTGAATGTGTTCATAAAGGCTCTGTGCGTTTATGTCTCTGTCTGCATGTCCTTGGGTAGCTTTCCACTTGTGAGAATGTATGAGTGCAAACATGTTCGGGCATGTGTGAGACTCTCGGTGCATGGCCAGCTGCGGGAGGCGGTGAGGCTGTGGGTCTGGGGCTGAGCTTGTGACACAGCTAGCCTGCTGGCAGAAGTGACAGTGCCTGCGCCCTTGAGGGTGGAGTGTGGGCTGTGAAGAAGGGAAGAGAGTGTGTGTGTGTGTGTGTGTGTGTGTGTGTGGGGCGGGCAGACCTGGGACACGATAGGACCTCCGGGAGCCGCGGCGATTCCTGTCTGTGGAGGCTGCACGGGCTGGGAGGCGGCCTGGGCCGGGGCCTGGGGGGCCATCACCACAGGGTTCTGCTGTTGAGCCGTCACAGCCACGGCCGGAGCCACAGGGCCCTTCTGGAAGAGCAAGGAAGAGACAGAGAGATAAACAGGACGTGACGCCTCGCTCACAGCAAGGCCACAGAGAACAGGAGGCAGGCGCCACAGCGCTCCTGTCACATCTGGTGTCCTGACTTCAGTGGACATCGCTGAACAGACAAGTCGGAGGAGGGGGAGGTGGTGACAAGCTAGAGGCTGGGAAAGACGAGAGGCCATCAAAGATTTTCTTCACAGTCACCTACCTGACAAGGCACAGCTCCTATCAAGGCCTGTTACTGGTCATGCCACCAAGTGTATATGCTCTAATGATGAAATGTGAGGGGATGAATGACTAGAAAATATCGCACATCTAGAACACAAATTTTACTTCACAGATGAGTAGCCATCAGTGGTTTCTCACTCTAAAGCTCTCATCACCTCTCTGAAATCTCTCCAGGCCCGTTCACACTTGGCAATAAAATACATATTATGTGATGTAATCATAAACGGACAGCTCTAAATGCAGACGTGAATGCACCCAAAAATGATATGTGTGACGCAACTATCTTCACAAAGGTCTGCATTAAAACAAGAAAACGTTTAAACTCAGGGGAAAGTTGTTGGGAGTCTGAAAAACAACAAACTGCCACATTGATCCTGTTTTAAAACACAATTATGAAGTTCAACATATTTACACACGACATTTTTAAACTCATAGTAGGATCTGATCAGCTTTACTTTCACATGCAATGTACTTTCAAAAAGGTAACTGAAATCTAAAAGGGTTATTCTGCAGAAAATAATTTTGGAATGGATTTTCTGAGCTGTTTGGTACAACACCTTTTCCCTAACTTGTCAAAAACTTAAGGTGTGGAAAACGGGTGTTAGTTTTAGTAGCCCCACCCCAGATTCTACAACTTTGTTTGAAACCTACGGTGTATCTTCTGAACAATCATTAAGGGCGAACTCACACTTAGCCCGTTTCCCCACTGGTCTGCACTCACACTGCTCCAGGACTAACCGGGCCTTAGCACGGTGATGTACATAACGTTGTAATACAACAAATGCATGGCTTTACATGATCAGGAAGCGTGCTTAAGTTAAGACAGGTGGACTAAGACAATAAGTCACAACAGATTGGTTCTCAGAATTCATTTTCAAGGAAAATGCATAAGAAAGGAAACTAAACGTAAAAGTTAACCAAGTAAGGCATGTTGCTCACTGGGCGGAGTGCAGGACAAGAGGAGGAGGAGGAGGAGGAAGAGGAGGAGGTCTGGAGGGCGGGGCTGGAAGGAGTTGGAGAGGCAGCCGGTACCATCTTGGCCGGGGTCAAAGAACACTGCCGGGAGGTCTGAGGGGTCACAGGAGACTGCAGGAAAGAAAGAGCGCAACACAGACAGGCAGAGAGAAGAAAAAGAGGAAAAGGGAAACAAGAGAGCGTATAGATATCATAAGCTGTGGATGAGGAAAGGAGGGACGTGGGGATAAAGGAATACAAGGCACCTCAAAAGATAGAAAGCTAGACAAACAGTACAGGTGAGTCCAGACTGGTTATTTAGGTGAAAGAATGAGCGGAAGAAGAAATAAATGAAGGGCAGAGGAAAGACCAGAACAGCATCAGAGGAAGAAAAAAAGCAGACGTGTGCGTTCTAGATGATTGCAGAAAGGTCATGGAAGCAGGGAAGAAGAAAAAATAAAAAAGGTGTTTCGGTGTCCCCCCCCTTTATTTGCAATGACCTTTGAGCCGGTCATTGACAAGGAGGACATTTGTGGCACAGAGATTATACATAAAAGTAGAGTTTGAAACCCACAACACCAATCACACTTCATGCTCAAAATAAGTTACTTTAGTGTGGCAGTAGTGCGGATATACTGCAGCAAGGTTTTTGTGTGGCTAAAAAAGATCGACACTGTGAATAAGAAGTCGTGTTGACTTCAGGGCTGTACGATAGATCGCATTTTTATCGTAACATAAAATGGAGAAAAAAGCTACCGTAAAACATAATTCATTTAATTTAGCTTACATCCACCATGCATTCATTTCAATAATCAGATGGAGCCTGAGCTAACTGTTAGCTACACTTTGGTGAAAAGGTGAAAAACAAAGCTCTTCTGCTATTTGGAATATTTTTCAAATTCAGGAGAGAACATTCAAAAAACATGCACAATGTGTGTGCTCATGATGAATTAACGCTGGCTCTTTTGTAATATGAAATAACAAAGTGTAAGGTCTTTTACCTGCGTTTTGTAAAGTGTCTTGAGATAACATTTGTCATGAATTGGCGCTATATAAATAAAGATTGATTGATTGATGACATCTACGCAAACTTAAATACGCACGTCGCTGGTTTTTCCTCACATCTTACATGACATTTTTGATGAGTCTGCTATGTTTATCTGCATTTTAATGGCACCAGAGAAAGTGAGATGATTTCCCAGTTAGTGCCAAGCGCCAGGATACCACAATGATGCCCAGTGGTGCATCACAAACTCATATCCAGAAACACATGAGTACAAAACAAGCGCACACACGCTGATACACACTTCCAGGCGGATGTCTTGACGTTGGTCCAAGACAACCCTAGAGGGCCTCTGCCCCGACCTCTGGCACACAGCCGTTCATTCACAAACAGACAAAAGCATTCACACACCGACAGCAGAGGGAACAGGCACACATTCAAGCACATGATTATCTGCATTTGTCTTGCAACCAAATGAACACACACAAACAGACCCTCAGCAGTGTCGAGGATGGGAAAAAGAGACAAAGAAGTCGAAAAGAAAAAGTAGGATAAAGAGAGGAGGAGGGAGTTGCCCCTCAACTAAAAAGTTTTGTAGGATGCAAAAAAAAAAAAAAAGATGTACTGAGGATTTTGGGGGAAGTGGGTGTATGAGTAAAGAGGGGATCAGGGGTAGAAGTGGGGGTAAAAGGGGGTTGGTGAGAGCCACAGGGTGCATCCCTCCGCAAGCTATGCCTCTCTTCTTCTCACTGTCTCTGCCTCTCACACACACAGACAAGCACACCCAAACGCACTGAAGAGCCAAAGCCTTGTTAGCTTTTTAAAATAATCAGGCAGTTGGATGATGAATGATTTAACAGGTATGGAAGGAAGGAAGCTCAGGATGCCTTCCGTTTCTCCCCTCGGGGTCGTAGGAAGAGTGACAGGCCGACAGAGGGGTTGAGCTCAGGGAATAAACACCATTCCCTTTCATTTCTCGCTACTGCTTTCCTGTCGAGAAGGCGACGCCGCAGCCCGCTAATTTGTCATCAGCTGTGACGTTGAGAGGTGATGACAATCTGCAAGTCTCTTTTGAGAGGGGTTCACATCAGTATGGATACAGGTTGGCTGGCTATGTCGCTGTGAAGCAAGTGGGCTACTTTTCAGGCGGGGGGGAAAGAGTGATTATGGACCGTTGATTTATACCTGCCATGGAAGTATAACTGAGAAGATGATTATTTCTTAAGTAATCTCAGTTCTCAGATGTGTCTTGTGGTCTCTGACAGCTGAAGCAGTTGAAGATGTAGCAACACTGCCTGAGAATGTAAAACGAGCAGAATATCAGTAACTAGTGACAGGCTGCTGCTTTCTGATGGGTTTACTAAACACCAGTAGAGCACATTTATAGAGTACACACTCCTTTAAATGCTGATTGTTTTAGACACATCTGTGTTTCCTGGACATGTATAGCCATGTTTAATACATCCAATGCAACGCTATTTGAAACTGTGTTTTTATTCATGCAGACTTTTTTAGTTTTTTTTACTAATTCTGTTTCAACGTCTTACTGTCTTTCTCTGAATGAATTCAAAAGCAAGTAGAAACAATGAAGTGTTTCTGAAATAAATAAAAAAAGAAATGTAATGCTGCCCTCTAGTGTCAATGTTATGTCCTCACAGTAAGTGACGCTTAATGAGCAAGTGCCTCAACTCTTAAAGGGGCCGGACAAAGAGTGTGGTGGATAGTTGTTAACCTTTGTGAGAAGAAGGCTTTTCTAAAAAAACGACTTTCTGTCTCATGAAGTTCTAATTGTTTTTGGCAGAGCATCACCTGAAAAGATGGCTGCAGTAAAGACTTAAAAAACAACTTATGTGTTACTTATTTCAAAGTTTTTCCTGAGCTTGAGTTCATTGAGCGTTTTCCTTGTCTGCTGAGTGAATTTCAATACTCAAGATCAAATTCATTCTAAGGACAGAGAAAACATTTTTTAATTCAATTTCTTGTATTTCCAAAATGTGACGTCATGTGTTCTGAGGCCAATAAGGAAAAGTTACAGATGGTTTATGTCAGGATTTGCTCGTTTAGTTTTTTGTTTTCCTTTTTATGTTTATATGTTCCATGTTTCCTGTTTTATTTTGTAGTTCTTTAAACAGTATTCACTTCCTGCCAGTGATGCGTTCGGTTTTATGATTTTGAGAATCCAAAAAGATCATAGTTGGTATCTCTCTGTGGTTTAGGGCTGATTGTTTTTATTTCCCCTTTCACGACGGCCGCTGCTGTCCATCTTTTGATGTCTGACCTGGTGCATTGTATTGTGGGAAACAGTACACAAGGGAGACTGGTCTGATGCATACTATACATTTTGTTGTAGAATCCGGGCATTTTTTAGCACTCTGCAGGTATCACATTTGGTAGCTTACTGCATACTGCGTTTTGGCCAGATCAGTATAATAATAATAATAATAATAATAATAATAATAAATTAGACTTTTCTTTTCTAAAAACCCTAAAGCTGCCTAACGGAATAACCAAAAAAAACAAAACGAAGAAAACAATACAACAAAGAAATATTGTAAAGGGAGGAGGATGAGAGTTGAGATTGTTAGTGGTTGTAGGTGATGTTGAAGAAGTGAGTTTTTAGGGATTTCTGGAAGGAAGCGAGTGGGGGGGGGGGGGGGGGGTGTCTCTGATGTTTTTAGGGAGTGAGTTCCAGGGTGGGAGAAGGCAATGGAGAAGACTCGTCTCACCAGGACCCATGGTTTGTCCTGCAGGGGGGGACGTGAGGTTTGAGTCAGCAGACCTGAGAGTGTACCGGTGTCACTACCTTCCTTGTGTCACTGAGCTTCTAGTGAGGATTTCTCTGTGACTTTGTGATTTGATGTCGGACATTGTTTGAGTTTGACATTTGAACACAGAAAACAGTAAGCTTTCATTTTTGTCTTCTTGTTGTATTAAATACTTTTTGGTTAGTCAGCCGTTGGGTCCTCTTTCTTTCTTTGAACCCTAATTGTGACACTTTAAGATGCCCAATGCAGAATACAGAGTAGAGTCTAGACCTGCTCTTTTTGTAAAGTGTCAGATAAAATCTGATGGATTGGTTAATTGATTGAATCTGTTTTCCTCGAATTACAGAGAAGCAATGAAAAAAATAACTATCCATTAATCTCATTATTTAAAGCAATTAAGCTCCAAAGGTGTGGATCGAGCAGCAGAATCTGAAGTTTCCCCATGAATGATGTATCCACAGGTGATAATAAGCAAATTCCAATGAATGATTCAGTGGCTGGTTAAATTTTGATGAGAGGACCCCATGGAGTCATTAAGGAGCCTTGAGACATTCATTCACCCATTAATCTCAGTTTAATCTATACGTAAAATAATCAGGACTATTCACGGAATATAATTACAGTTTAACATATTAATCAGCAGCCAATTAGGGTCTGGAGCTCAACTGTTATCTTAATAAGGACTGTGTGTACCCACACATAATGAGAGCACAAATTCTACAATTGAATCAGCCGGGCTGCTGTTAACGAAGGTCAGCGGCTGTTTAAATGAAATCCTCTAGAGCACAAAGGACTGAAGCGTGCAGGAAATGTGTCTGAACAACCTGAGATGTGTGTTCCCAGGTGCTCTCATCGTCAGATCAGAGGTTGATGCTCTTTGTAGAAAAGTAAGAGAACCAGGAAGTGGTGCTATTCGGTAAGTAGAAGCTGATTGCACAAATAAAGAAGTATAAATTGATCGTCTGAAAACTGATTGATTGATTTGGTTTGCACTTTATCAAATCACCATCTTCTGCATATAACTGATCCTAACTATTTGAAGTTAAAGGCAGCAAATCTGTGGCAGGAGAATCAGGTCTTAGTTCAGTTACTTTGTCAAAGAGAAATGTGCAGTTTTTCATCTCTTTCAATCTGAGTAAGGTTTGTAATTGTGTCTCTACTTAGAAGAAGTACAAAATGTGTTTTTCTTACGGCACTAGCCTTTGATGTAGTTGGCGGCTGAGGAGATCTACAGGCTATTTCAGCTTTAGTCCCCACCTGCATCAAAAATACACTACGAACAACAACAACAAAAAAAACCTATGAGTTAAGATGCTCTTATCAAAGTTGAATTATACAGTGTTTCAGTGTTTCAGCTAAGATGAAGCCAAGGCTGAATACATCCTGATACATGCAGGCACTGTGGGCACAGTCGTGTGAACAGTGGAGCTCCGCTTCTTCAGGTAACATGACAAATGTGATGCTCTGTTCTATCATTTACTGTATGTTGTTTGAAGTGGATTTGGTTAAACAGATTAGAGCTTTTTGGAACCACGTCACTCTTCAAAACACCCCAAAAAAAACATTTTTTAAAGGACATTCATGGGTACTCTGCCCCCCCTCTTATTAGTTTGAGAATGTGACTGGTCAAGCCCTGTATCTGTCTCCAGCCCTGTTATGTGAGTGGTCTGGTCTACAGGTGATCGTTTTGTGTGTATCTACTTTTAAGATGATTTGTTTTCATTCATGATTTTTCAATAATTTAACTTCCATATCTTAACTGTTAAAGTAAACTTTGTGGTGTGTTTTTGAGAACACTTTGGTCTGTCAAAGGCCCTTCATTTTTATAATGCTGGTAGCTCAATTCATACCATTTTTTGAACAGCAGCAGCTGGTGTTAATATAATGAATGAGAGAAGAATAGAATACAATAAGTTCATTAATGGAGCTGTGAGATTAGTCTACAGCTTTTGCCCTGCAGCCGAGTCACTGACAGATCTAACGACTTGAACCCTCTCTTTCCCAGTGTATGTGAATAATGTTTCTATGGTTACAAACATGTATGCGTGTATAAGAACATGTATTGGGGATGTATGGCCTGTGTTCTTTTTTGTTACATTGTATTGACAGAGAACTTTTAACAGAATCAACGTCTCTAATGTTCGCATGAATCATGATAAATACGGGGTCCAGCAGATTTATTTTTGTATGTGTTTTTGTTTCTATTTCCGGGATACGTTTTCAGTTTCTTTGATATGTGCATGTTTTATATTTCTGTCATTTTCAAATGGTTTCTTTTTCTTTTTTTTCGTTCATGTAGATGTTTTGTTAATCTTGAAAATTTTAATAAAATATTTGATCACAAAACAAACAACACAACATGTTAAATCAAGATACAACACACATTTTCAAAATAAAACAGCATTCTTTTTCATTTCTGTATTCGACCTGATTTCAGCACCAGGAGCTGTCCATAATCCTTAAGAATCTCACGAATCTGCTGTCCTAAAAAAGAACTCTTCTTTATCAGCATTTTTGAAAATGCAGTCCAACAAAAATACCATCACGGTCCAGTTAAGGACTTACTTTTACTTTTCTTAAGTTAAGAAAACTGTGCTTGTTTCAGCTTTCTTAAAAATCTTTTCTTCAGAAAGCCGTCTTTAATATGCCATTTTGAAAAGCAGGCCATGATCCCACTCCTAGATCTTAAGTAATGAGTATCTCCAACTAAGAAAAATCACATTAAAACATTCACAATTGTTTCCCTTTGACCTGGAGGAAGTGCCTGGGCTGTAGCTCTTGGCTGATGGTTAAAATGGACAAAAGTGCTGCAACTTAAAAGCAGTACAGAAAAGAAGGGATCGACATTTATTCTCCCTCCAGTGATTATATTCTTTTACAGTATGAAGACGTTAAAAGACAACCCTCGCTAATCTACCCAGGACATCTACAGTGAAATAACGTGTGGAAGTTTTGTGATGCAAAAAAAAAGAATATTCTGTAGTGTATCTTTAAAAATCCAAACCATGACATTTAATGAGTCATGAATAAAAATGAATCTGACTTGGATGGAAACAAATAATTTATTAGGGAGAAGGAGTAGTAATATTATGGGATATTACACTTTAAAGGATATACAGTAGTTTAAGAGCTTTCTATTTGCTAATCAAAAAAAGGTGTCATGTGCATTACTGACTCAACAACAAGGTAAGACCTTTCTTAGTGCAAATCCACACAATCAGAGCTAACTCATCATTTTTATGATTCCCAGATATCATATGAATGTACCTCATACTGACATTATTTAGTTGACTTACTTAATTCATACTAATCCATACTTGTGATGTTTTTATAGCAGTAAGTGAATAAAGGTTAAACGCCTTTTTTTCATCATGAGATTATACAGTGATGAGAAATAACTGACAATAGACCTACAGTATATTAGAGATTTTTTTTTTTTTTAACTTGCTATTTTGGGAGTTCCCCTCAAGCCATTTCATGACACAGTCCTCGTTCAGAAGCTTTTTCATACAACAACCCTTCACTTCTTCCCTTCTCTAAGTTTTAAGAGTTAGAAAAGAAATGAAATGATGAAATTTTAAAGAAATTAAACAGAAAAAAACCTGTGAATTGAACTGAAAAATATTTACCATGACACCAAAGTGGAGATGTCTTTTATGTAAAGAAACATCTGCCTAACCTCTGTCACCTTCTCAGCATCACTACGTGCTGTGTTCATTCTATTGGAAGTGTTTCAGTAGGATCTATTTTGCAGACTCTCTCACCTGTGGCGTTGTTACTCTGAAGGTTGCTCCTGTCGTGGGAGTGGCAGGGCGCGGAGAGATGTTGTTCTGGGCCTGAGCCTGAGCCTGAGCTTGAGCCAAAGCCTGCTGAGGAACCATCACCAGCTGGCCCAACTCAGTGCGTACCAACACCATCCCTGTACAATCCCAAAGAACATCACAAGAGGGAACAACACAACCTGTTAGTGACTGAATGGTACTTAAAGGAGTTAGCACATAACCACAGAGCATCACTGTAAGAGAATAAAAACCATCTTTTACACACAAACACTCTTTTCAAACTCTTTTCCTTTTATTAACTTGATTTGTTTATATTTGATCTAATGATTTGGAATTGTTTTATTGTCCTCAACACTTTGACAACACTGTGTAACTGACATTCATGCTAATAAAGAATATTAAACTCGGAGCTTTGTATTTAAATAAGTCTAAACCAGCAGCCGGATTAAATATCAACCAGCCCATTAGGATGTCATTGCAAATAGTAAATTTCAGTTATTTTAGTGGCAAAGCAACCCAAAGAAAAGATCGGGGAAAATGTTACACACAGAAAGTCAATGAGTTCAATGAGTTCAATTAGTTTGACTACTTGTTTCTGATTGGCTGGAAGATGTTTATAAAAAATAAAAGTTGCACCGTTTTACATCAGTGCATGAAAATAAAAATCAACATTGCGTGCATGAATTAAAACTAGCATGAGTAAAATTACCAACAAGTTTCATGATAATAAAAAAAAAAAGATGCCTGCTAAGATAGAAGATTAAGAGTGCTGTGTGTAGCAGGTGGCCACGTGGGAACTGATATTTTTAGTGGGAAACACAATCGACTTCTTGTACTTAATTTGAGCCACATTTCATGTTTATATTGGAAGTAATATGATGATTTTTGATGGTTTTCATGATATATAGTATGATCAGAACAATCAAGATCTCTAATTATCCCCGGATGAGAAAAAAATGAACTAATTTCCTTTATCTGTCAACACTGTTTTCTCAAAATGAAATAAATTAAAATCTTAAGTGACATCATTTCTTGAGCATCTCCAGCTTCAACTGAACTGACAACACAGAGTGAAGAACAACAGGTAGACTTTTCCTGGGCAGCAGTTATGTCACTCAAAAAGTGATTTTTTTCTGAAAAAGAGAAACTGAAGTATAAGAACGTGCAACCAGTTTCATAAGAGTTAATAAATTCTGTTTCAAAAAATCACAAATTAACATGAAAATAATTGGCCCACTTTGAGGAGTGATTAGGTGCAAATGTGACTGCACATTAGTAATAATATTCAGCCAAGAACCTTTAGTGAGTACCTCTCACTTATTTCACATCAGTTGGGATTCAAAGTCATTGTGACATGTATGCCTTTTTGGTATAACAAGACCCAAAAATGTAATTTTTATGTTTAAAATTATTTTCGTCGTGCAACGACTGCTGTCGTTTGATTTGTTCCTGCACACATTGAGGGACTCTTGATGCAACTGCTGCATTCAAACTATAGCAGTCTTTACATACAGTATTATAGTAAGCGTTATGAAACTTCAGTGGCAGTCTGTTTTGCATATGAAAAACTTGTGACGGCCTGAATGGATGTGCTACTTCTTTGTTAACTGTGTATGGTGCGTGAATCCTTTTGTGGGAAACATTTCTGCATGACATTGTTGGAGAGAGCCCTGTCTGCTTGTGACAGGGAATCCATGAACTCAAGTGTCACAGCAAGGCGTCTTTACACAGCTCTCCTCCTATGAGCATTACAAAGTGTATCTCTTATAGAGACATAGTGTACAGATAGATGTCATTGACTCAACTACAATACAAACATAATGCGAGATTTGTCTTTTTTTTATTAAAATGTATTACACAGATGTGGTATTAGTGTTGTGTTATTGTACTGTAATGGATGCTTGGTGTAAATGGTATAATTTGCATGCCTTACTGGGCACATCATTACACTGCTGTGTAATGTGTTTGATTTCCCATGGGGCCACAAACTCACCACTAAAAAGGACATATTCTCAACAGGTATATTTTTCTTCAGCATCAGGCACCAAACAGTATGGTCTGTGGATAGCGTTCCAAACATATTAACATGTGGTCGGAAAACTGAGACATCACACACACACACACACACACACACACACACAACTTCCTCATAGTCAAGAGATTCAAACAGACTCTGGACACAGGCCTTAGGTACAGGTATTATAACACGGCTGTAAACAGCACCTCCTCGCCTCAATCCTTCCCCCTTCTGCCAAACCTTACCCGGCGGGATGGTAAACCCAGGGGGCAGCTGAATGGTCGTCTGCTGCTGAGGCGGTCTGACAATCAGCTGTGGGGCTACAATCCTCTGAGGTGTTGCGAGTCCAGGACGGGGTTGAGACTGTGCGGAGGTGGCCATGGCAGGTGTCGGGGAGGGGGCTGTGGGTCTGACCATGCTGATGGCGGCAGTGGTCACTGATACAGAACTTGTTGCCACCCCTGCTGTTACACAGGTGGTGGCCGTTGTGGGAGAGTTCAGAGGCTGAGTTATTGTTGTGGTGGTCATTGTTGTTGTTGTTGCTGCTGCTGTTGTTGTTATGGCAACAGAAGGTGTGGTAGATACAGTGTTTATTGTAGAACTGACAGACTGGCTTGACATTACAATTTTGGACTCTGTTTTGGAAGGCTGTGAATCTGTGAGGGTTTTGCTATCCTGTGAAGCTGAAGATGTGGTGGATGCTGTGCGGGCAGCCTGCTGGACCAAGGCCGACACACTGGTACCGTTTCCATTCTGGGCAATGCTCGCCACAATGTGACTTGGGAGTCTATGCAAAGCGATAGTGGGAGTCCCCCGGTCCAAGGCAATAGCAGACTGACCTACGGGGAGGCTCGGGTTAGTCACGGTGAAAGTGGAAGTGTTAATAGAGGATGTCACAAGACGAGTAGAGTTTGTTGTATCCACACAGCTGACGTCTTCTGCCGCTGCGCTGCTGCTGCTGCTGCTGCTGCTGCTGGTCCTCCGCGTCGTCACAGCGGCTCCGTTCAAACTCTTCAACCGAGCAGAAGCGCTCCTCCGCGGCGTGGTTATGCGCTTCCTCGGTGGGTTCGCCTCCGTGGACGTCTCACCTGTGCCGGGAGAAGAAGCCTTACACCCCCGACTGCTGGATGTGTTGCTGATGCTGCCAGCAGGCGTAGCTGCCAAAGTTGACAGCCCAGATGCGGTCAGTGTTGTGATGGATGCTCCATGTGAAGTGGCGTTCACACCGGCGGCGGGCGAAGTGGAGGAAGGCGGGTCAAAAGAGCCCGGGGTGCAGCCCGGAGAAGGAGACGTGACAGTTTTACCCGGGCTAACATCTTTAGAGTTTATCTTATCCTGGCGCGTCTCAGTTTTATTCCGCCGTCCTTGTTGTTGTTGTTGTTCTAGTGTTGAGGTGCCCACTGGAGCTGGTAGCGTTTTTCCTAAGTGATGGTTAGCGGGGGGCACGGAGCCAGCGCCTCCGTTTTCCTCTGTTTTACCTGCAGGCTTGTTTTGGTCTGCAAGCTGAGACTCCAACGAACCCACCAGGTCGCTCACCGCCTTTTCATCCACCTCTGAAAAGAGCATATCTTCCAGGGGGTCGGAGGCGCCCGCCATCTCTAATCACAGATAGCGCTTGTATTTCATTACAGTGCGCATGCGTGTTACTAGGCATTGTGGGAATGAATCTTACGTCATGAAATGGGGGGGGGGGGGGGGGGGCTAAGTACAATGTAGTGAAAATACAATCTAGGATTTTCTCAAATTCTTAAGTTTGATGTGTCAAAAATGAATAGTGCCACAAATCTACGTCTATTTCTGTTTAATTGTAATAATAATAATTCCACTTCCCATCTGCACAGCTGTCCCAAAAGTCAGCTTCTAGTTGGACACTTTAATGATCACCTCAATTACTGAAATAGCACCTTTAATTTAATTTTTGCACTGCCTGTTATTTAATGTCTGTTTTTTGATAATCTTGCACAATCTGCTTTTTAAACATTGCTGTAAATACAGTATATAAACAACACATCTTCAGAAGGTCAACACTTTTTTATTCTTATTTTTTTTATATTCAGGTCTAATTACAGATTTTTCCCTCAACAATTTAAAGGTTCTTGTTTAAATTTCACATATATTTTTATCCCTGCATGTTATGTACATTTCTTGTATAAGTCTATTTTTAATTGCACAGTTTAAGTTTGATTCATCTAGGGGTATTCTTTAAATATTTTTTCAGGTTAATATATATGTATGGGGGGGGGCGCGCGTCGGTTTTGTGGTCAATTTGTAACAAATGTTTCATGTCATGTTCGTCTTTGTAACTTGCTACTGGATGCTTTGAATTTCCCTCGGGATCAATAAAGTATCTATCTATCTATCTATCTATCTTTCTATCTATCTATAATCTATCTATTATTTGATAGTATGGGGGGGAAGGTGGCGACAAGCCAGCCTAGGTTGATATCATAGAATAAATAGAATAAGCGCACTGTGAGTAGACTGTTATTTTCCTTTCTTTTTAAATCATAGTAAAAATGGAAAAATAAAACATGCCCCCTTGAGATTACTGGATTTATAATGCCTTTTACATTCATCAAAGGACAGATGTAAGAGGGAAAGGAGGCAACTTCAGGGGGAACAAGCATAGACTGTAAATATCGGGAACAAGCAGGTAGGTTATTGGATACGTGCTTTTACTAAAACTCGTTTTGTAGCTTTTAGCGATGTTTGAATTTTATAAAATCATCAACAGATGAGAATTAGTCTTTTGACTAACTCTGGCATATTAACAAAAATGTTTATCAATATACAATGTCCCTGTAAAATAAAAGTAAAAAAAATAAAAACGAGACACGGAAATTCTCCCGGCATGTTGCATATATATATATATATATATATATATATATATATATATATTTATATATTTATGTATTTATATATTTATTGATGCATTTATTTAATTATTATTATTCATTTATACATTATTGTATGCATTTCTCTCAACATTTATTTATGTATTCATACTTTAGTCATTTTTTGTCCCTCATAGTCAAAAAAAAACAAAAAAACGAGACACGGCCTTTCTCCCGGCATGCTTAGCGGCGGGCAAAGGAAACTGTAATCGGCCATGTCGTGTTAGAGCTCAGTTCAGAAACGAGCGAGTCCGAGTCACACCGTCGTTTACTACTTATCCATGCATTGAAAACCTTTAAACTGCAGCGCTGAAAGCAACACATCCACCCTCTCGTTTGACCGAGGACACATTCAGTGGGATTTCGTTGCGTTATTACAACAAAAAGGGAAAACATGAGCGGAGGAGGAACGCCGTACATCGGCAGCAAAATTAGCCTAATCTCCAAGGCCGAGATCCGCTATGAAGGAATTTTATACACTATTGACACCGAAAACTCGACAGTAGCTCTTGCTAAAGGTGAGTTAAGTAGCACCAAATGTGGCCCTAGTTACTCAGACAGGTTAATAGTGTTGCTTACAAGAGTGGTAAGCAATGTGGGAAACAGATTATAATCGCATGCTAGTTAGCCATGCTAGCTGCTACTTGCTAAGTGGTGCATTAGTTAACACTTTGCGTCCTTTGTTTACCTTGTGTGAGCCAACATTAAATCTGACCTTTATCGCTTAGCACCAAGTGGCCTGTCGTTTTTATACACTGTATCCCTTCCTATTATCAAACATGTTTAATTAAAGGGTTAATTACGATGTTTTGAACAAGTTCTTTAATTCCCCTTTTGGATAGTAACACTCAGATAATTTATTCACTACAGAAAGAGAGATGGGTCTGAAGTAAAGTGTGGGCATATAGCATTGATTTGTTGAATAGAGAAAATAATCATAAAATGAAATCTTAAAACTCGTATTTGGCTCCTTTCCAGGTGTTCTTGTTTATTATAGATACTTTCTAAGAATATTTTCTTCAACACTGACTATACCACGTTGAGCTCAGATTTAGGATATATATATATTTATACAAAAGCCAACACCCACTCCTATCAATAAAAAGACTAGTAAGTGTAAAATAAATGAGACATTTTGTGTATTTTCCCAACAGTTCGCTCTTTTGGCACTGAAGACCGGCCCACCGACAGGCCTATTCCACCTCGGGATGAAGTGTTTGAGTACATCATTTTCAGAGGAAGTGATATTAAAGACCTAACAGTATGTGAGCCACCCAAAGCCACTAGCACTCTGCCTCAGGACCCTGCCATTGTTCAAGTAAGTAGATTTGTTTGCAGTCTTGTTGTATCAAAATGCCTAAATATGAAACAAGTTTGTCACATATCTAACTTGTGTTTTGTACTACAGTCATTGGTAGGTGTTTTAAGGCTGTAGGGTTTAATGGATTTTGCTTTGCTGGCTTATTGCCACAGCTAGACACCTGCTGCTTGTTGTGGTTAATTGCAACACCTGTGCTTAACTGTTTGCTGTGAACAGACACTTATTCGCTACTCCCTTCTCTGTAGCAAAGTTATTATCATTAACAAAAACTAAAAAGGTAATAAACCTTATTAACCAAACCTAAATGAAAAGTGAGACAATAAGACACTTATCAGTGCATATCACTCAACTTGACACAGAAAAGGCACAGGTGTACACATACAATTAATTATAGCTTACTAAAGACTCCAAATAAGTCAGAGTACCTAATGCCAGTTTAGTATGTTTGGAAAAGTGTTGTATTTATAGTAAACCATAAAAATTTGATTGAATATGATCTTTGTGACAGGAAGTAATGTGTGGTTTGTTTGATTTCTTATTTGTGTTTTTAGTCATCACTTGGAACCAGCAATTCTGCACCTCCACCACCATTCCAGTCAGCAGGACCCTATGCTCCTCCGTACAGCAGAGCCCCTGTCCAACCATACAGTCAGTTTGGTGTGACACCGCTCGCAGCTCAGCAGTTTGGCTCTGCTGCAACCGGGGGTAAGATGTAGTTTTTAACATGTGTGGGCTAACGGGACAGGGTTTCTCTCCAGCATTTAAAATAATCTAACATATTTCATTCAGAAAACTTTGGACAGCAATGAGTGAATGAGACAGTTTCAGCTGCAGTGATGGCATTACGTTGATGTGGTAGCGGTGCAAAGTAAAGTTTTTCCACTGAGACCGTAGGCGTTGCAGGCAATGGCATCCTTACTGACACTTTTGTCCGAAATTAAAGTATGACATGTGATCTCCTATTGCATGTTCGGTCGGCAGAGGGATCGTTCATTTAAGACGACTCTGATCGCTTGTGTCTGTTAACAGAGACTTGAGTTTGTATCCATAAACTTCACGTATAGAGCTGAGTGTTAAGCCTGATTCATACTTCTGTACCAACGCAGAAGCCTACCTACATAGCCTCATGTCCAACTCCTCGAAATGTGATTACGTGTCGAAACGACGCAGACTGCAAGCCCTGTGATTGGTCCGCTTGGTAGATTTGTATTTCCTGCAATTACGGCATTCCTTGTATTGCTGCCATTTTCAAAATTAATTGGAGTATAATGTACTGCTGCTCAATATTTATCAGCTCCAACATGATATGCTAGTTTTCAGTTGCTACGGTTTCCTGTCCAAAAAACAAGTAGAGAATTTGGCTGAAATGGAAACTGGCAGTACAACTAGCATATTAATCACGCTGCCAACTAGTGTTAGTTTGGTGGAGTATTGCAGAGCTTCACAGACACCAACACACGAAGTATGTCGTGTTCACAGCAGTGTAGGCCACTATAGCGTAGATTTGACGCAGACGTATAAATCAGGCTTTACACAGAACAACAACACATTTGTATGTTTAAATGTCCCATCTTTATTCCGCCTCCACACTAAACGTACATGTGCTCCGTCCTTTTCTTCTCTGACTTAAGGGGTGATCTGTTTAATTATTATTTATTTAATACTCGGTGCCCTCAGGTTTTGGCTTCAGCATGAGATGGTCAAGTATAGTAGACAAATACATGCTGATAACAAACTGAGGAATACAAAGTGAAAACTGTATATCATGACAGATGAAGTCAGGATTGAGTCAACAGGTGTTGGAAACAGCTTGACATTGAAAATCTTTTTTAAAGGCCTGAGGATCATTAGAAAAAATAATTTGTCTGAAGTGGACCAACATATTTAAATAAGATTTTTCACAACTGCAATAAAAACTAGAGAATCCCCTCATTACGTTAACATCTGAAAACATGATAATTGAAAGGGGGGAGTCACACTCGGGTAAAGAAGAGCCATTGGTATCAAACTAGTTCTGCTGCTTTCCCGCCTTTGAATATACTTTGATTCATACTTTGCTCTTTTTTGCAGGACGAACCAGTCCCCAGCTGGACTCTTTAAAAAAACCTCCTACCCTGGAGCAGACAGTGCAGGGTCCTTCATCAGCTGCAGCTGCACCACCTGTACCTGTAGGACAGAGGAGTCAGGCTGTAGCCCCTAGACCCATCATCAACACCACTGGCAGCCAGAAGCCCCCAGACCTCCTGGAGCAGAGAAAAGGTAAAGTTTTCTTTTGGGCCTGTTAAGATAGAAGTTGTATGAATCTAAACAGTGTTGAAGAAGTCTTAAAACATCCAGGTGCTTCACCATCAATCGCTCATTTATGGAGTGCTTTGTTTTAGTACAACCTGGGTCTAAACATGCTGTCTCTCCCTGCTCAGCTCCTGAGGTTCAAAAGGTGTCTCAGCCAGATCATGAACATGGAGCTGTTGAAAACCGAGATCCCAACAAGCACCAAGCTTCTGGTAAGTACTTTTACACCTTAACTGAAATATATGCATTTATAAAAATTTACATGGCCGCTATTATTTTTGTCATCATTAGCTGTACAGAAGTAGTAAAAATATTACTTAAGTCTTTCTTTTTTCTTTTTTTTTTTACAAGTTGTACTGTGATCATATTATTTTCTTTTCCATAGAAAGGGCCCAAAGTTAACATTGTGAATGTTAAAGGAAGTAAAAGTTATTTCCCCTGTGTGTGGACAGAATAGTACAGTCACTTCTCTATTAAGTGCTGCCATAAATATGTTGTAAGGAGAAGACGAGGGCTTGCCATCGGGGTTTTCATGGTTGTTGTTTTTTTGCAAAGGTTAAAAAAACTGCAGCACATGATAAGAAAAGGTACAGGGTGTATTCTGATAAAGATTTGCATCCAGATATCACATTATGAGCTCCTGTTTATTTGCTGAAACCCTTTCTATTGGTGTGGATGGGTTGATAGTAATGCTTCTTCTACTTTCATTTGGGGTAAATATTATCATCCCATAGAGTAAAAAGCTACCCCCTCACTGTCTCAGGTTTTTTGTGTTGTTCCAAAATGTTGCTTGTTGGAGCATCGCTGGATTTCAGTTTTCTCCTTCTATATCTCAGCTGCTGCTCAGTCAATGCGCCGCGGCCGTGGTAGAGGAAACCGGAGCAGAGGCAAGATGAACGTGCGCAGGGATGGCCCCATGAAGTTTGAAGAAGACTTTGACTTTGAGACTGCCAACGCCCTGTTTCACAAAGACGAGATTGACAAAGAGCTTCAGAACAAGCTCAAGCTGAAGGGTATGGCATCAACACACTCGAGTCCTAAAGGGAAAAAATGTCTTTGTTCAGCTTTGATATGGGCTCAAATTGACTCGTTTCTTGATATACTCTAGAAATATGCTGCATATTGAACACACAAGTGTTCCATTTCTTTCTCACCAGTGCAGGAAATGTCTCACTGGTTCAGTTGGTCACTGGTCATTCACATGAGTGGTGCAGTGTACATCATCCAAAATGTGCTGGTCAATCATGGTTTTAAAAAACAGCCCAGTGTGACAGCTGCAATCATTGGTCTATTTAAGGGGCAAGACTGTGTGAACATTTTTTTTATCACATCACCAGTTAATCCTGAAGAGGGTGGGTTTGGAAAAATTGTAACAAGTAAACTCTTTGCACAGCATTGAAGCAGTTAAAATCATATTTGATGCTTTACCCAGGTTAACACACACACACACACACACACACACACACACACTGACATAACAGTCTGACTAAGGAGCATTAGAGAATGTCTGATAATGCATTCAATGTATTTCTCACCTTTCATGCCAAAGCTGTACTGCATCATATTCAGGTTTTTGCCAACTTATGTCAACTCATTGGTATTAGGTGATTCTGTTTTTGTATGTGTGTGTAATTTGTTGCTCTTTTTCCTCCGGCCCTAGATGACAAGCCTGAAAAGGCGCTGAATGGAGAAGAAACTGCTGAGTCAGAAAATCCAGCCAATGAGGGGACCAATGAGGAGGAGGAGGCTGCGATAAACTCATGTTACTACGACAAGACCAAGTCCTTCTTTGATAACCTGTCCTGTGATGATCTGAGGTACTTTAATCACAAGGGGATGTTCTGAATCCAACTGCTGACTCAGAAATATGTATTCAACCTTATTCTAGCTCCAGTAACCCATAAACAAGAGAGTGAATACAGACCTGCAGGTAATGTCAGAATTGAGGCAGGATTTTACTGTTGTGAAAATCTTCAAGGCTGCAGGGATTTGCTTTTCTTGGTTCATATTTATGTATCCATCTGAATGAGATCCTTGTTTGTTATTACTACAGTTAAAAAAAACACCTTTCTGCATGGGTGTCCATACAAAAGAAAACAAGACATTTCTAATCATACATTAAACAACATCAGGAAAAGTTAAACAAACCAAAATAATAATAAAATCCATAATGTCACCAGAACAACACATGATTAATAACATTGGTTTATTTGCTTTATCTAACTTAATCCATTGAATATCATTCACATACAAAATTATAGATGTAGACTAAACTAATGTTTTTTATTAATTGTCTCTTTATCACTTTTATAAACAGACCTGCGCAGTGATCAGGGTTATGTGAAACGCATGTCTGGTGTCATAACTGTGTGTATATAAGCTGTGAATGAAAGTGTGTAGGTTTTATAGTGTAAATGTTTCTTATGTACTGGACCAGACAGAATGCAAGTCTCTCTCCCACCATGAGTCATGGCAGCCTTACATGAGCTGTGCAGGGCCAGACAGGAAACTCTTACACGAGAAATGGATCTTTTTGAGCTCTTGCTTTGAAGCACTAGACCAAACTTGTCCCAGTAATCAATTTGGGACAAAAATAAATCATCACATTGTCACTTTTAGTATTATCCCTCCTCAGCACATGTCTACATGTACTACTGGCAATCACAGACAGCCTAAGGCTGCCAGACTACTTGGAATCAAACTGTTTTATTGACACAAACTATTGGAAATAAAGTGGGTTTAATACAATCAATAAAAGAGTTATTTAAACATGTTAAATGTGTTCCACTGATATCCTGACTAACACTTTGTTTTTTTTTAATCTTTTTCAGTAAAGGGGGGGATAGAGGATTTTCACGGTAAGTCCCTTTTTTTTTGTGTCTTTTTTTTGTTGTTGTAATTTTGGCTTAATCAGGGTTTTTATTTCTGTTCTTTTTTTAATGGGTTGGCTTGGGGTTTAAATATTCTAGGGGTGTTAACCATTAAATCACACAATGTTCTCTAAAATTGCTCTGTGTGCTGGTCAGGTCGTTGAAACAGGTTTTTCACAACGAAATTACATTTTCGTCTGATTTGATTTTATACTTAAAACACTTGTTGCACAGGATATGTAGTAGAGAAAGTAAAGAGAAAAAATGCTGCTCAGAATCTGGATCCTGATATATTTTGTTTGTATCTGACAGGGAGAGAAGGTCAAACTGGGCAGAAGAGAGGCGAATGAATTCTGAGACTTTCGGCATCCCTCTAAGGCACAGCCGAGGAAGAGGTGGTTATGGTTACCGTGGCCGAGGCTTCATGGGGCCCAGAGGAGGCCGAGGGCGCCCGCTGAGCAGAGGCTCTTTCGGGCCACCTCGGGGCCCTCCACCTGGTTTCCGAGGCGGATTCAGAGGCGGCCGAGGAGGACGGGACTTCTCTGATTTTGAATACAGGGTAAATCTTATCAGCCTCGTGTGCTCATGTCAAAAATAGAAGCATTACTGTAAAGTGTAACACGTAGAGAAAGAAGCACTTCTGAACACAGTTTGTTTTGTTTTTGTTTCCAGAAGGAGAACAAGGTGGCTGCATAGTACAGCTTTGGTGGATCCACAGAATAGAAGCCCTGCATCATGAAATAGTTCCTGTTGAAGAAGGTCTTTGGTTTCAGGATTCGACACAGAATGAAGACATCCTCTCAGTCACCAGCACTAACGTCGTGTGCTTTACTCGAGGGGATGCGAGTGCAGCTCCCTGTCCTCCACTCTGATAAACAGGCTCTTTTTGTTTTCTCTTCTTTGTTTACCCCACTCACACCTGTATATAAATAGCTCTGGAATACCAGTAATCCTGCAATTTGTGCATCAATCAAGTTAATTTCTTCCTGAAAGTGTCTTTGATATTGAAAGCTGAGTGGATCACAGTTCTTGTGATGGATAGCTTTATTTTCTTATTGTCATCGTAGTTCTCAGATTTCATTAGTTTGGTTGATATTTGTTCAGTATTTTTCACTTTGTTAGCAGAAAACTTTTTTTTTGGACATTCATAATTTCACATTGAAAAGGCAAGAGGAACATCCTGAACTGAATATTGTTATGAATGTAAATCTTCTACTTACTGCTCCCCCCCACACACACACACACACACACACACACACACACACACACACACACACACACACACACACACACACACACACACACAGCAAAATGTGACTCGCTCAAAAGTTCAAGTTTAGAGTTTCAGAAATGTGCATTCAGAAGATCTGACTGTAACCCTCAAACCTCCTGGATCAGATGAACTCTGTTTTTTTGCTTTACATTTCCAGCTGAACTTCTGATTGAGGTTTTACAGAGTTCACTTTCGAGGTATTTGTTGGCAGTAGATTTTGTTGACTGGGTTTCTAATAAGGGAGAGTTTCCTTGATTTTTGTCTGAGGATGAGGAATATCCATGACTATAAAAGCCTCTAGAAAGCCTTGAGTTAATTCAGACCAAACCTGCAGCCAGGCTGACCTTGAACAAGTTAGATTCGGATTAAAAATGTTTTGCTATTTTGCCAAAAAGGAACTCTTAAACATTTAGTTGAGTTGAAGTCATTCACAGCCCAAAAATACAGGTTTTGATTTTTAGTTGTTGACTTTTCTTTATGTCCAAACAACATGAGCGGTTAGTTAAAGCATTCTGTAAAAGCATTCAGCTTCCTTGAAATTGTCTTACAGTTGTGTCATGTGCATTGTTATTGTTTCCAGTGCAGACCTGAGTACCTGCAGTGATGTCATGATGTTAGCTGAAAAATGGGATTCTTGTAAATGGATTGAAAAATGTCAAAGAAGACGTTCAGTAATAATGAAAAAAGTTCTGCTAGATATCAGCTCACTGGCTTGTTTGTAGCTCCTCTTGTTGCATTGTTGGCGATGTGATTGTTCTCTTGAATCAACACTTACTTTTTTTTTTACTCGTTTGCGATCAAAGGGACTAGAACTGGATGTGGTGCCAGTGTGCTGGATGGAGGGTGAATATTACTTAAGTCTTTTGAGCTCTGATCTGTTATTACTTTAGAGACTTCAGAGTGATTTTATACAACTCTCCCTTTAACGACGCTGACAGAGTATTGAAAGCACTACGAGGTGAAATGGTGAAAAGGTTTCACAGATTGCTCATCACTGCATGATAGCCAGCACCAGGTACCATCACTTTATATGAGCTTTCTTAATAAACCAACAATGCTGAATTGGAGACGAAACTCATGACTGAACTTATAGCTGATGTGTTTTTCATATGTTTGTTACTCCTTCCAGTCACTGGAATTGTAAACCAGAAATTGTTTTCTTGAGAATATCAACAAAATTGAGTTTTTACGTAAAATAAAGAGTTGTACAATATCATGTCTGTGTTGTTTTATTATTTATCTGCATGTATACAGTCATCACAGCTTTCCAAAAACAAATGGAGTAGTGAGCTAAGGGGATTCCCTAACTGCTTTAGAGAGAATATTAACATGTTATGGCGACCTTCTGTCATATAAACTGATATTTCTAACTTATTTTAGTGAGTGTAAACCTTAATCCAAGTAAATAACTGAAAAGCACATTAGTCATCAGTAGCATTGAGCTAACTCTGCCTACTCAGTCTGTAAACAGTTATTACAGTATGAATGTAATGAGTATGACTGACTATCTTAATTATGAATAAAATTAGACCTTACTCATCAATTTGTATCTTAACTAGACCTTCACTGGAGCTTTCATAGTGAGGGTTAACATAAATGTATTCTTATTTAATAAAGATTACGTTATTGTGATTAGCCTATGTATATCTAATGTGGTGGTCGCTGCCTTTTCTTCCATTATAAGTTCACTGCATGCAAAGCCTTTCATTCTTGAGTAAACAAAAACGTCCGTTATTATTTTATTCAAATAATCAATGACTTCTGAGTGTATGTAAAAGCATGAAGACTTTTTCACATTCATTCATGCATTCATTGAAGTACAACCCAATCAGATGTAGCCACGTCCTCTAAGGACCAATCACCTTGATGCTGTTGGTAATTAAATTAAGTTTGTTGAATCTGTATCTCCAGTCACCTCCAATCCATTTGATCAGTGTCCAGGTCCAGCTCTTCAGAAGTCCTGGCACAGGTCAACATTTTTCCAATTAAAATATGAAACAGCGTGCGAAACAGCCAACAGGATAACACAGGCCATCACAGGCTGCTAGAACATCCTTAGCATTGTCCTGCAGATTTCAGCAGACATTAGTATCTACAGGAAGTAGAGGCACACAACTTCTGTGTTCAGGGACCAGCTCCCAGGTCCTGAAATCCTCCTCAAAGTCCACATTGACCCCCCTGGATGGAGTCTGGTCACCAGTACCTTTGCCCGCCTCAGATCCACGATCAGTTCTTTGGTCTCGTTGAGCTAGAAATGGTTTACAATGCTAGTAGCAGGGATAAAGTGTGCATAGTATTAGTAGTTACAACAAAGTATGATAGCGGAAGACGGATATTGGTAATTATAGGAGTTGAAGTCGAGCAGCTTTAAGATTCAGGTTAACATTTATCATAATGATAATCGACGTATAGGTCCACTACATCGATCCAGAGGAACCTACGAGACAAGGACCAGATCAGGAACTCCCAGGAAGATATATGGTTCACAGCTTGAGGGGCATCAGGGTTCTGACCCCTTAAATCAAAGCTCACTCAAGGGTTCAAATTCAGTTTAAGCCTGGTGACTGCTTAATTTCTCCATTGTGTAAGCCTCCTTTTAAACATTACCATTACAGTTATACTAATCTGTCTTGATAAACAAACAGAAACATCAACAGTAACCAGGACATCCACTAAAAGAGCAGCAGCAAGTTGACTCAGGTGGTGAAGCCAAAACCTTGTTTCTCAACACTTACTCCTTCAGACCCAGGTTTCAGCCTCAATAGGACTAATGCCCACTTTGGCCTATTAGTAATGTAATGTCTTCTTAAAGTTTTTTTAGATTATTGAATTCAAAATGCCACTGACATTAATGAATAACGTACATCAAACACAATACATGTAGCCTAATGTAATCAGATTCAGCCACACTTGATTATTCTCCTCTTTTTTTATATAAAAACACTCTTTTTTTAGAACATTTTCTCAATTATTCTCCTCTTTTTTAAAAAACAATCTTTTATAACATTTTCTCAATTATTCTACTCTTTTTTAATAAAACACTATTTTTTATAACCTTTTCTCAATTATTCTCCTCTTTGTTTCTGTTACAGTGACGTCACGTCACACTACAAATAAATGTTTGGTTTTTAATTGGAGGCTGCTATCCTGCTAACGCTCCAGCAGGTGGCATACAAAAAACAAAAAAATGAAACAGACGTCTACAAATAAAATCGACGAAGAAGAACAAGCGACCGTAACCGGAAGTGGTATGTTGTAAACAACCGCGACTAACCTGTCTCAAAATGTCTATTGTTTTCGTCCCAAAGAAACTTCGCGGAAAAGCGAAAATCAATCAAGAAACAATACAGAGGGTAAGACACAGTTACAGCACATTTAATAAAGAGGCTAATAAAGCTTACAGCGTGTATTCTTAAACATACTTCAGTTTATCTCTCATCCTGGCTTCATGCTTGATGAACAGCATCATTCGTTTAGTTCTCTGCATGTTGATAGTTTGGTAATGAACATAACAACATGTGTAATATGAACGTGTGAGCTAAAGTGTGTTAGTAAAGTGGTTGTTGTTGTTGTTTTGTGTCACAGCTGCTGGATGAAAACGACCAGTTAATCAGGTGCATCAGTGAGTACATGCAGAAAGGACGAGCAGGGGAGTGTGTTCAGTAAGTCAAACTCATGGACATACTTTCTACTTTTTACCACTGACATGTGTTCACTGTCAAAAATAGCAAGTCTCTCTCAGCTATCTCAAGGTTCCTACTTTGTCTCATAGGTTCCTCTGATGGATTCATTTTAGCCTTACATCTTTCATCATTATTATACATGTTAGAGAGCTGCTCCACTTCTTCCTAAAATTTGTTTATTAGGAAAACATAAACTTTACAAGCAAATCCACTGTCAACATGAACATTTCTGTGTTTCAAACAGACACAAAAACATAGAAATAAATAATAATGATAAAAAAATAAAAAAATAATACACAAATAACCATAATCACTGGTCACTGATGTTTGTGTCTTTTTCTGCAGTGTATTTTCAGCTGTTGTTAATTTCTGCCTTTTCAATCAGATACCAGCAGATCCTGCATCGAAACATCGTCTATCTGGCAACTATAGCTGATGCCAGCCCAGACACAACGCCCTCTTCTTCAAGTGTGAGGACAAAACACACAATTCATCCCAAACTATTGTAGTAAGAACTGTGCTGCTGGCTTGCTTCTTCCTAATACTTCTTTGTTTGTGTTTTCAGTCTACCTCCAGTGAAACCCTAGCACCTGCTGCGGATGGACATGGAATGACGTGATAATGGCAGCCATCTGTCAGTGCTGCTGGGATTTGTTGTTTTTGTATGTTGTTGGGAATGTTTTTTACATGACAAAACAGTTCTTGTAAATATGTCTTTTTTTCAGACATATTACTTCGCTGTTATCATCCAAGTTGTACATAAAGGAGAAGTTTGCTGTTTTTATTTGAAACTACCATATGAAATAACTTCTTGCAGTGCAGTAGTTCAATTTGTGACACAATATACATTCTCAAAAACCCTTGATGTATTGATTCATCATTTACTTCCAGAGTAGTTTTAGTTATTACCACAGGTAAATCTTTATAGAGTGCACAAAAACTAACTGTTATATGGTAAAATGTCACTTCATTTTAATGCACATTATGTTTGTAAAAGTTAAATTGGATTTAGCTGGATTCTTGCCTTCACTCAGCCCTCAATGCATCTGAATGTAAATGTTTTGTAGCAGGCCAGCAGCTGAGAACAGCTTTAACATCCGGTTGTCAAAGTAAAAAAGCATCTTGTAACAGAAAAACTACAGAAGACAATTTTTTGAATTGCTAGTCATTTTTTATTCATTTTTTGCATTGCTGGTACACTTGGAAAGATTCAGTTGCCAGCTCAAGAGAACAATAAGCAACATAAGCCAAGCAGTCCCCCTTCATATCTTCAATCAGGGCAACATTTTTTATGATCTTTTTTTCTTAAGTTGAAGCCACTAGTAAACCATTTGACATAGCTGAGAAGCTAACAGTTACAGCCCAAGGTCTGTAATGATGTCTTTAGAAAAGGCTGCAACAGTTTAGGAGATAACACAGACAAAAAGCAACAAACCCTATATCTTGATTGTGCAAAGCACATTAACTATAAAAAGATATATATTTATATGTATATACAGAAAACAACTCTCTGTAAACATGTTAAGTATGTTAGTTTTCTGAAAACATGGTGTCATTTCATAAATACAGGCAACATTGGCATCCCCAAACATCACAGAAAGATAACATTCTGGGCTTTTAAATACAGCCCATTGCCATAGAAACCAAAGAAACAAGGGCTCAAAAAAACAGCCTCATCACACAATGTTTTAGTGTTTAGCATGGCATATTTGGTAACCTTTATAGATAGATGGAGTAGTTCAACTGTAGGAAAAAAAATGTGCTTTTTCACATATTGGGAGGCGGAAAAATGTTTCTGTAATATGCCTACAAGAATATTAATGTACAGTAATGGTATAACATGTAAGAAAATACAAAAATAAGATTAATACTGTCAATAATTGTTCAAGAAAAATATTGTATTATCAAACAGAAAAGAAGTTAGGGTTACAGGAGTTAGTGTCAAACAACCGCCAATTAGAGAGGAGGAGAAAAAGAATGGATGTGAAAATGTTCCCTAATGCTCTCATCCAGTAGGGCGTGTAACATCACCATTTCTCTTGAATCTCACACAGCCTCTCATCTCGTTCAGCACCATTCATCTTCTGAACAACGCTTTGGTTGGAAATAATATTCTGCAAGTGCTATCAATACCAACATGGCACATTGTTACTGCTATAACTCTAAACTCTGGTCAGTTGTTGAAAAAGTAGTGTGTTTCTCTCAAATGACACCTCTGCAGTGACTTACTATATTTTTTGCTGAGCCTGCTCAAAGCCTCTTAAAAAAAGAACTAAATATTTATATTTCAACTTCAGTATTTTACAAGCTATGAAACAGTAGATGGTAGCTGTACTCTGAGTCATCTTGCATGAGATTTGGCAGTTACAGCTATGTAGACACAGTATATTTATTATGGGCAAAATGAGAGCATTTACAAGCCTCTGCCCCCTTGTAATCTGCTTCTCTATACACACACATACACACACACACATTTAGCTGCAGAAGCAAGTGGGTGACGGCTGTACACATCTCCGGCTCTCGTCTGAGGAGACGTCAGCTCAACAAACAGACTAACCGCTGCCAGCATGACACATGCACCTCTCTCATAGTTAAAACATGGCAGTTCAAAAGACTTCAAAATACTTCTCTTTTCCAAATGTGGGATGTTTGACATGGAAAAATATAGTTAGAAAAATGTTGAGCCAGTGTGTTAACTTTAATTTTGCCTTTATCTGCAGCCTAGAAATCTTAAATTGAGTTGGTGTGGAAAGTGACGGCTGCTGCTCAGCCCACTCGTCTCACAGAGCTGCAGGCCCTCTGTGGCACTTCACCGTCAGTAGACTGTGATCAGTACTGGTGAAGGTAGGAGGGCCTGTGCTCGTGTTTGAGGGGGAAGGATTTAAAGCCCTTGGTCATGGGTTTGTGTTGCTGTTGTTGTTGCTGCTGCTGCTGCTGCTGCTGCTGGGTGAAGGAGGGAAAGCCAGGGGAGATGCCGGTGGAGGGGGAGCAGTCGCTGGCAGTGGACCAAACAGGAGACTGCAGCATCTGCATGGAGTCACTCCACTGGGAGGAGGGAGGGATGTTCATCTGGTATAAGGAAGAGCTGGGATTAGGCATGGTGTTGGTGTGGGTGTGGGTGTGGGTGTGGGTGGAGTGCTGCCATGGTGCTTTCGGAGGCCAGGTTTTAGTTTTGCTGTCCTGTGGAGAATGAGAGACGGGAATCAGTAAAGTTGAAAAGGTTGATGAACTCCTGCCTGATTTTGAATTGGGGACAGCATCACACACATAAGAAATTATTCTCCATAATCTCAAACATGCTCACACTACAAGATATTAATATCTTGGAACATCACATACTTCAGGATTTTACGTCCCCCCGATTGTCGGGAAGAAGAAATCTGACCTCAAATCGGCCTGATAGTCCTTCAGTGTGAGCCAGGCTTTATCCTAGGTACGTTTAGAACTGTTCCTTTTTTTTGTAACTATGGTAACCAGGGATGTCTTAACTGTACAATAAATGACAATCTATCTAAAAAAGGAAAAATAGAACAAAAATTCAAATATTCTCCTTGTACAATTTTTCCAAGCGTTCCACATGCACAGGGTTTCTAATGAATGCTTACTTGGTTATCATCGTTCATGTGATGGAGTGGTGGGGAGGGCAGAGTGCACACCTCTGGCTCACCACAGCTGTGTTTTCTGAGAAGAGAGAAAGATGAAGGTTTGGTCACACAGTGGAGCTTGAAAATGCTCTCTAAGCAATAAGTATCAACAAGCATTTGATAAGAAGCGATGAGGAACAAAAAAATGGCTCTTGTAGTTTTTTACGGAAAAAAAAAAAATCCAAAATTGCATTTGATGACGTTGTATGATACAGTAAGACGTTGCTGGCTGACAGTAAGGGGAAAAAACGGGCCCGTTTGGGACTTTGGTACTTGCCTCCTTTGTTTAACTGCAGCTACAAGGTCAGGCCCAGAAAACATGGAGAACAGACTGTCGCCGTTGGCTGAAGATGTCTCGTCGCTGGAACTGGCCGAGTCCCCCTGATTGGCTGACCAGCTGCTGTTAACAGCATCCCTGAGGAAACAAGCAGAGGAGGTGTGAGCGCTGTCTGACTTCTACTTTCACTAAGGTGGTATTTAAAGGTATCACAATTTGAATTCATCTGGCTTGACTTCCTTTGATGTCACACTGTTTATACGACACACAGGGTTTAAACCACTGCAGTAATGATTGTTTCACTTTACATACTCTTTCTGATTCATCTCAGCAGGTTGGTGCTGTCTCACACTTCTGGGCTAAATTTGATGACTGCATTCACTAATAACATGGCAAATGCCTTTTATGTTGATGAAATCTATCGCATAAATAATTGAATCAAACATTGCATGGCAGTAGGGTAATTGTGCATGTACAGCTGCTTTTCATATTTAAAAAAATATATAGACGTCAGATTTATTAAAGCATAAATGTCACAGATGTTATGTACAGAAAACTGTCTGCTTTTAAAAAAATGGACTCTGTACTGATTTGTGTTGTCTGCATTTAAAAGGCAACACCACGTATAGACTTCTCAAACTCCAGACACAGCAGATTATGTCACACTGCAGGTGACGGATAATATTTTTTTATTTTTGCATTGATCAACAATTCAAAACCATTGATATAAAGTCAAATATTGATGCATGTGATCTAACACCTCTAGCACCATGGTGCATATCATTTATAAAAAATGTCAGGAATAGTTCAGTTCAAATAATAATGGAGTGGTTAAGTCACTGAGTGTTTTAATGGGCCTATGACATTAGTGATGATGATGAGGGCTCCTGGCTTTAATCACAATCCGGTCAGATTGTGTGATATCAGAAGTAACAGATCAATACATCAGGATTTAAACCCGATAATATTGATCAGTAATCTGTTTGATGTTAATATATTTGTTTCTTGTTCTTCTGTTTGTATTTGTTGTTCTTGTTATATTATCAAAGACTTTTTAGGGACACATGTTGGGGTGCCAGTTTTAACCAAAAGAAAAGTCTGGGAAATGTTTGACATGAACAGATACGTACCCCTCACTGTAGTACTCTGGGTGGGACCAGGTCCTGTGCTGCTCATCAGGCATTGGCCAGTTGCTGCGTGGGTTGCTTGGGCGACGGATGTGCTGCACCTGTCGTTTCTGCTGCATGGCCTGACTGACGCCGGCGACGTAACGTGCAAACTCCGGATCAGAGCCGACTGCGCATGGAAAAAAGGGAGGATAAACACAACTATGAGTTTCTGACAGCCTCAGCTTTCTCTTTTGCTCCCTGGAGCTCAATTCGTTTAGCCAGACTGTTGACCATAGCAGAAAATCACAATAGCCGTAAGTCAGCTCTGCACAATGGGCCTAGACTGCGATCAAAAGAGCCTGCTGCACTGTAAAAATAGAATCCCACACAGGCCAAATTCAGCATAATCTGTCAACGTACAGTCCATCAGCATGCAGGGAACATAGCCACTCACACTGTCTGCCCGACATCCATTATTCACTCAGACTCAGGGTTGTACATAGCACTAATAATGCATCAGGTGAAGACACAAGTGTTTCTGTCAAACTGAATGTCCAAAAAAATACTAGGAAAAAAGTTTTTGTAAATAAGCCAGTTCTAACCAGTTTTGACAATCCTGATGTATACGCTGAAACCAGACAACTTGGCCATAAATAAAACCAAGCAGGGATATCATTGATCCCCATTTGCCATTACAGTGATGTTGGTTTTTGTGCATGATGATGTCAAGCCATTTCATCTTTATAATCGTTAATAATCATGTTAGAAATTCCAATATTTAGCATTTTAAAAAACAGAATTGTTCAGCTTTTATTTTGAATTTTTGTTCTGTTTTAAGCTGAGATGACTTTACTTTCTGTCTGAATTCAACCCTGCTTTTGTTTTGAAATAAAGGATCTCCTGGTAGATCGTAGCATAAACACTGAACTAGGAAAAAGGAATTTGTACGGATCAAAAACTAAAAGAAAACAGTGAAA